AACGTTCAACGACCGGTGTTAGATGATATATACGAGTATATATATCAACTTGTCCATATTTAAACGTTTATGTCTTGTTTGTGAAAAGAATACAATTGTTTTAGTTCTATTTCGTTATTCATGTCAATTTGAATGCTGTCATCTAGTTTCCATTCTGAAATTAGGGCCTGACGAAGTTTAACTATACTCCGTTTAAAAGTTTCAATGAAACAGTTTTGGTTATATGCTTACAACTCCTATTCAATGATCAGTTACGAAGTCAATAAAATGATTGTTTATTTTTGCATCTTCATGACCTTGCGAATATTTAGTTACCCGCGCTGACAGAATTTAAAACTAGAAAACGAGTATATATAGACTTGTTACATTTGACGACAAAACATGGATCGTTTATTGCAATCTTATTTCCTGTCAAAACTGTCCCAAACAACGCATGATTAGTTTGCGGATGAGGGGATTTAGAAAAATTTGAATTGGATAAAAAGTACTCCGCTTTTTAATTTTATTTTTAGCGTGCCGAAAAAGCTGAAAAAGTTTGGGAACCACTGTGACCTCTTATAGCGTATCATTCCAAACTGCTGGTGTATTTGTCAGGGTTACATGTCTCACAATTGTGATTTAGGTCAGCAAGATCTTGTACATGTATCTTGTCTCGGTTCTAATGTTTATTGTCACTGTTACTCTTCAGTGGCGTAGCCAGCCCAAAATTTGAAAATTTTAGAAATTATATTGGGTTTAAAACACCCGTTCTTCAAGCGCAAAACAACAACAGTTGGTCAACAAGCAAACTGATTCAATTACTCAGCTGGATTTTTGTGAATACAAAATCCATTAATAAACAATTTTTTATTTGAAACAACAAATATTAACAACGCAATTTGAATAAGTAAAATACATAGCCCCGATTAAAAGTCCATCCTTCGCTTCCCGCCAACTATGCTCGACACAACTCGATTAATTTTCTCCTCGGTGACCATTTCACGGTGACAGTGAAGCACACACAAATCAGAAAGGCGATTGGACGTCATTGATGAGCGCAGCCATGTCTTTACCCGTTTCATGCATGAGAAAGACCGCTCAGCCTCAACGGTGGTTGCTAGTAGCGTCATAACGATCTGTATTGCGGTTTACACGCTTGGATAATCTCGAGCGCTCAGAAGAAGCCCATCCAAACATTCGTCGTTAACGTCGGAACTTAAAGAAGTTCTCCACAGTCTCACTTCATTCTGGAGGTTATCCAATAAATACAGACGCTCTACCTCATCCACGTGAACTGGTTTGTTCGGTGGAAGAATTGATAGCAATGAAAAAAATGATGGGTTGTCAATGAAGCGTTCCCGAATAGAGCAGCTCAAGCCGTCGACGTATGGGAGATATACGGAACGTTTAAAATACTGGGATGCTGAATCAGCACAGACATTGTCGCGATAAACTTGTACTTCGACTACTCTGGGTATTGTCAACTCTTTCAAGCCTGCTATTTCACAAGCTTCTTTGTAAATATTCAATGCGATTTCAGAGTCATTGCGTTCTTCAGCGATAACGCTCTGAAGAGAGGATGTGAGGTTCTTTACTGACTCCGACCGCCTGAAGTGCGCGCGCTAGTGGCTCCATTAGTGCCGAATATCGTCCAATCAAACATACGGCGTAGATAACCGACGACTTTTCTAGAGCAGATTTCAAAGAAAAAGCCTTCGCCCGCGTCTCACTGTTAGCCTCTCTCGCCAAAGAATCAAGAGCCTCAAGTACTCGTTTGAAGTTGCATTTGAAGATTCGGATGCTCATGTACTTCTCAGACCATCTGGTGGGGCAGAACAAAGGGATGTTAATTCCTGAACCCGCGCGCCTTTAAGGGCTCTCCCTGAAAAAACGAATAGTCTCACGAATGATATCACAGGTGCTTCTGATGATTGCAACTTTACTTTGGTCATTTATGACCAAATTCAAACAATGAGAAGCGCAGTGCACAAATATTGCGCGCGGGTATTTATCACGAATGCGTTTTTGCACACCGCTGACGTGACCTGCCATTGTCGTTGCCCCACAAGTTTTTGCAAATCCACTCCTATACCAGAGAGGTGGGTTAAAATATTTGAGGAAATTGATTCGGCAGAAACAGAATCCATTTCCACTAATCCTGTGAAGCGCTCGCACACTTCACCACCTTTCACATACCTCAAAACGATGCTTAGTTGTTCTTTCCCAGAAATATCACATGATTCGTTGTCTATCACGGACACAAACGATTTATTAGCCTCCATAACGATATCTTGCACTATCATGTTGCTTGCTACCTTGAGAATTTCATTTTGTATCATCGGGCTTGTATACTTAGCGTTTCCGGCCATTCGAGCGAAATGCCTTTTCAAATCTTCATCCCCTGCGTCGATACGAAATAGAAGAAGGTTCACAAAATTTCCACTATCCCCGGAATGTCCGCGCAAGGGTATGTTACCCGAAGCACAGAACATGACAGTCTTAACAATGGAAGTCATTATTCGTCTGTTTTATTTTGTTTGCGTAGCATATTGGGCCTCCATGTTTGCACGCACATTTTGACCAGTTTCCATGCTTTTGACAAAATTTTTTGCAGCTATATTTGATTCTCGGTGGTAATTTGTGTCTCGGTGTGCTACAGCCTTTTCCATAAATTTTTTGTAGTCAATGCATGGTCTTGTAACAAAGGCAGTGTCCCTGAAAGTTCCATGCTTCAAACGTGCTTGCATGACTATGCATATCTTACACAAACCACCCCCATCAGAGAGTTGGGTGTAAACTAACCAACTGCAAAATCTGTTATCGTCAAGCCATTTTTTGAGAAATTTACGACGACTTTGTCTAACAGTATCCAGAATCGTCACGTTTTTCGGACCATCCGAAGTTAGAAGCCTGTATCTCTCCGCATCGGTAAGCTGTGTATGTTTCTTAAGAATAAATCCAAGATCGTTTGTTTTCCCTTCGTTGATTATTAGTTCATCTTCGGGAATAGAAGTGATAGACGTAACTGACGTAACCGGTGCATCCACAGCCTGAGAAGCGCTTATTGATGTATTTGAGGAAAGCGAGTCTTTATTTCGCTGAACAAAACTATCGAATTTCGCCTGTTTAAATTTAGCCATCGAAGTAATTTGGTCATCAAAATCCAAGCGTTTCGAATAAAAATCCGGCGAGAACAAATCAAGATCGAGTAACTGACCGAAAGCTTGCGAAAGTAAGTCTTTCCCATACTGCTCATAAGAGCGAACGGTCAAGTCTTTGTGACATAACAATGACAATCAGCAAGCGTGACGAGACACGATGCCACAAAACTGGTGGATTAGGAATGGAATTCTTGAAAATTTTGGAGGGGGCCATGGCCCCCTCTGGCTACGCCTATGTTACTCTTTGAGCGCATAAGTAGGCCTACATGCATTTACCGTGTTCGTGGTTTATACCAGGCGCCGTTTTCCGACATCTGCCAGCATAATTTACGTTCATATGGAGATACAAATTCTACATTAACACGGTTTTTCCTTCACATCGAACATACAGTGATGGAGGTATTTCAAAGCCCACAGTAAATCAGCGCAGGCTACGACATCTGCGCTATTATGTAAGACACTTTTATAATTCAACAAACTAAGTTGATAGCAGTTAGTAATTCCTTTCCTGATATTTAAATGAGGAATATATATGGCGAGATAGCCCAAGCCCACTTTGATTCATTTTATTGATTCAACTTCAGAATCAAGCTGACGCATGGAAATGGTATTTTGCTAAAACGTCCTCTAGTAAAAAATAAGCTATTTACTGCAACGAAACCAAAGAATGACAACTTCATATTACAATACTAAATATCACTTCATATTATATGCTCCCATGCTAATATATATATACCGTATTATTATATATTTCGTTTTTCCTCTTCATTACGCTTATCAAAATGCTTCGGCTTTGTTTTGGGTCCTTTGGCATATTCTAAAATTACCCTACCTTGAACAATGAGTGATGCATGCCAAGACAACATTAAAGTTTTGATACCAGATTGAAAGTGACACACAAAGATTTTCCAACATCAAATGCCACGTAAAATTCCGTACTCGATCAGTCCAATATATCTAATTTACGTTGTCTACCTGGTTTAAGCAAAGCCTCGACAGACTTAAAACTCTAATCTTGAAGAATTGTCAATCGTTCTCCTGACCAATGGAAAAAGAAGCCGTTGCACGGATACTTTTGTCAGTAAATGTAATATGTCATAAATATTTATAAGCTCATATCAAATTCGTGGTGAAGCATCACATGGTACCTATTTGCTATTTACCACTCATAGATACTTGTGAACCACGTAAGGGTGGGCAGTTAGTAACCAGCTTGCTTAAACTGGCGTGATTGCATTGTTCATCGTCCAATTACCCACAGAGTGTATAATACATGTGTATACACAGAGTTTGCTTTTTTAGAATTTCACGTTGATTAAAGAAGTGGTCGAACTATCAGTAGTACATTATTTTCCCACTCGACAGTTATGGTAAATTTTCATGAAACTGGTCAAGTAACCTGCTCTAATTTATATATATATATCTTTCCGCCGTAATTCAATATTACTCAATATACTCTTTACGTAAGCTAGTTATATTAATTTTTGATAAAAAATGCTGTCCCTGAACCACAGACCGCAATATATTTTATAATTCGTTTTAACTATGAATCTGAAATATGTCGAAATGAACCCGACGCTCCTCGAATGAACACAATAGGTAGGTATTAAATATATAGCCTGACAATAGCAACACTTTTAATATTGTTTTCTGAACAACTTTTATTGCCCGATACAGTCAACGCGGCGTTATGCAAAGCATTGTATCTCGAGTTTAACAGTCATCAATCACAAAAAGTCACATCACGATAAACCGATGCAGGAAAAGCGAATACGAGATGAGAACAAGAAATCTGCTTCAATATTAGCATAACATTTCTCCAAAATATTTGAGAGATATTAAAAAAAAAAACAATGCCAATACAATCTGAATGGTATATTTCAAATAAAGAAAAACAGAGTTTGGTCAAATACAGATAGATAGTAAAGAGATTACATTACATACAAGTGTGAAGATTCACATAATACTGAAAATAAGATTCTTATAAAGAGCCGCCCGGGTATTCAAAAATTGTGAATGCGAAACCGAATCCCATCTATCCATTTGTAAGAACCGTGAGATAAATATATACTTCAAGTATGAAAACAATACCATGTTACTAAATGAATATCCAACCTTCATTAAAATAAGAATCACTTCAGGGAAGATTGGTTATAGCCCAAAGCTTATATTGTGTGAATATGCTTGATATTGATATGTTCAATCATTAATTTATGCTGATTGAGACCAGTCAGAAACATCATAACAGATGGAAGTAGATAATAATGGACGGTGGTCAGGATAAATATCACTAAAATACGCTGTAAAAGTATTTGAAATAAACTTTACCTTACAAGAATGTGTATATTGTGCTATATAAATTCAATGAAAAAGCGATCGATCGTTTCAACATGTGTCAGAATAGTACACATTCTTTGTAAAATGCTATTCCTCAAGCAGTGACAAAAATACCACAACTGAATAGTCCTAGAGTTCAATAATTAAGAGTAAACAAGGCGTAAATACACTTTCAAATTCAGAAAATAAGAAGAAAGCAAAAGTAAACAGAAGAAAAGAGAGAATAAATATGGACTGTGTATGTCTATACCACATAGCCTGGCACTCTAGAATTCTATTTACCAATATTGGAATTTAATCATGATGTGAAAAACAAGTTTCAAAAATTGAAAAACAGCAGTTTTGGTTAATAAGAATGCTTTTAAATGGAAATTAATTCCATTGGCATCAAAAAAATTTCTTTGGGTATCTAAAACACCGATCAACAAACTCATGTACTAAATTAGTTAGATTTATATTGTAAAGGCACGCACAAATTTGCCAACTTTATTTTCCTTTGATTTTCTGACTAATTGGCAAATTCTTCTTAAAATATTTTAGTTTTAATGAATGACTTTCATGAGACTTTACAAAGAGCATACAATATTCCATTGCCGTTCGCACACATTTCTCTTTGGTCATCATTTCTTAGATAAAAATAATATCAATATTGCAAGGCTTACTTGAGGGATATAATACGCAGCCATATATTAGTGGAAAATATTTTAAGACTGAAAGACATGAACATGCTTCCTAAAACAAACCACTTGATGTGAAGCAGATGAAACGGGCACTAAGAGGTAAAGAAGATCCTTTAATTTCAGAGTTAGACTAACTCAGTTAGAATTGATGATCTATTCATTCAAAAGATCGGAATAAACCTTCCCATTCCAGTTTTGGTACTGCCGTAGTGTGTGTATCAGGTTAGGGTTAGGCCATAATTTTATTCCGATTTTCCTTATTTTAGTTTTACTACGAGTTTGGAGACTATCTGTGTTAGCCAAGTGAATATCCCCCTGCCCATAGGTTCCGGCCCCTTTACACAACTTGGTGTAAAATGGGCGAACAAAATTAGCTACCTCCATATTGGTACACACACTTCTGAAGCGCCCAGGTTTTGACATAATAAAAACTGAGTAAAGTCAATGCATGAAAGCAAATTCATAAAAGCTTTAGGCTCATTAAAGCTTCATATTTGATACGGCAGCCTGAGCGTAATATACATAATAGAAGATTGTCACATTCCAGCGGTTTATCATAAAAAAGATCGTCAAAAATAATATGTTAAACAGCTGCCATATCTACATCAAAATTTAAACTTTGCCTTGAATGTCTTGGGTTAGGTCTGTCGACTGGTTGGCCAACGTTATCATCTCTGTTGCTTGGTCCTGGTAGGTCACCTGCAAGTGAAGATAGCTCTAAATAACTTTTTTGTCATGGCAGAAAAATATACATACAGAAAACTTCAAATGAGATTTAAACTTGCTGCATGAAAGCAATATGCAGGCAATGCTATTTGTGACATAGAATACGAGTGTAAAAACATAATGAATAACTCTCAATTGTTCTTTAGCTAGTGATCGCACACAGAAGCAGTGGATATATACAGAATAAAGTGAGGAACAGGGGACACAAGAACAATCATGAATAGTCAATTTGTTGTTGAACTAACAACAGTGTTCTCATTAAACTAATGTTATTTCACCCTAAATTAATAACTGAAAAATCACTTTTGAATCAGCATTTATCTTAATAATTATCAAACTAGTTACTCCAATCGACATCGGTTAAGAGTAAACCGGAGGAGAAATAACCTGTGATGCCAACATATTCAGGTTTTGTTCGAAATTCTACATGATAAGAAGTTACGAGACCATTATAGGCGTCCAAATTTTATGGGATCTGGCCCTGGGTATGGTTAATTCCATATGAAAAACTCAATGTATAGAATAATTAAGTATTTTAAAAAAAAACTATTTTCTTCAATCCGTTTTATAAATCAAATACACAGGGAGAAAGAGTTTGAAGTCATGACATTGCAATTTTTGCTTTTTAAATTAAATATTCGCAACATGTATATTCAAATTTTCAAATTGATTAGTACATCAATATTTCATAATCTTCAAAATATGCTTGTTTTTCACACAAATATTTCAGAGAAGATATCACAAATTCTTGCAAAAATAGCCTTGTGTAAAAAAGAAACAGGAAAAGTTAAAAAAGTGTCACACTTACTCATTGAACTATCCATTGTTACTGGACTTCCGGTGCTGTTTTCCACTATACATTGAGGTTGCGTAAAATGTGGCAACACAGTTAAAGTGCACGCTCGAATCCCACCAAGCGCGGCAGGTAGAGAAAATGTTTTACTCCATTTATCTGACTCTGGATCATAGCATTGTACGATGTCAACCATGCATCGATTGTTCCATGAATATCCTCCTAGAAATCGTTAATGAATAATGTTAATGAATTTTAGAGCCTATTTCTAACTTGTCTGCAATACATTCAGCAATCTACTTGTACATAACCACGTCCCACGTCCTTCCAATGAAAACAATTAGTGGTTGGATATTGGGCAACGTATTTATTGCTCGTGATATATACAGGGTTGTCCGAAAGTAGGATAATATTCATTGATAACAAGTTATTTAATAACTGTTACCCTACTTTTTTCCCACACTATATATAGATAAATCGCAGTGGAGCTAAACTAGCTTATCACATTTTGAGGATCTGAGGAAATTGCATTTGTGTAATAAAAATACAAATTTTGTGTCGATTTTAATAATAGTGTGCCCACAAAGCCTTCTTATTGGCAGCGTTGGAATTTTTTGTGTGCAGTCGGATCGTGGTCGGAAGCAGGTTGGCCACCTGCTTGGTATAGAACAAACAGAACAAACAGAAACTTTTAATATGTGTATACTGAAAAAAATGATCCCTGACCAATTCCTTAAACATCCCGTCAATCACATATTTCGGCTTGAGGGAAAACTTAATGTGATCCAAAATATATATCATAAGGGATATAATAATAAAGCCTGAAATTCTCCAAAAAAACATAAAAAAGAAGACTATTATGAAACCTAAAAAATTGTCTAACATTGGAAAAAGCTTTAAGCCTCTTAAACTCACCAGTAACAAATATTTTTTCTTTGAATACAGCTACACCCACATCGCTCTGCCCCGTTAACATAGGAGCTACAGCTGTCCATTGATCAAGGTCTGGTGAATAGTATTCACATTCTAATACATCATCATAGTCTGTAGTGCCTGAATAACACAAAAAAGCAAGTATAAGTTTTTTAGCACACGGTGTGAATCATTTTGCTAGTTTCTTGTTGTCGTCGGTGAAAAAAATCCCTTCCTCTTGATAGAAATATCATGTTCGAAATGGAAATGCTGCATTGAAGGCTATTACTTTTATTTTCTCTAATGTTCCTCTAACCTCTCTGGCTCTCATTGTTTTACGCCAAATTTTACTGATTTTAGGAAAGTGATGAAATCATTGAGTTGATGAATTTCGACATTCTTAAAGTCGTGGGTGGCAATGGTAGCATAACAGACTTTGTACACAGTGCTGGTGTCCACATAATGCTGCTTAGCGAATAATTTTACCGCCAATCAGAAAAATTTAAAAAAAGTAGACAAACTCAAACCATTGTAGAGCAAAGTTATACCAAATGATTTTATGCATATTTAAAAATATTGTTAAACTATAATTTATAAGGATCTCATCTCATCAACCATGCTCCATATTGAAAATAATACTTATTCCGATATACCTTTAAAATGGTTCCCACCAATCACATACAACCTATCACGAACAGTTGTCATGCAATGTAAACCTCGGACTGTCGACATCTGGCGTCTAAAAACAGAGAATAGTCAATTAAATGTTGCAATCGAATCAAAGGAATAAACCTAAAAAATATCAGTGGGATTTTCATTGTCCAAAACAACAAGACTTTATTAATTAATAACTGAGAATATTCTCATATTCAATTGTGCAAACATGATTAATTCTCCAATAGACATTCAAAGCCGATCACACGCAAGAAAAATAAAAGTGGCATATACAAAACACTTTCAACACTAGCTGTTCGGGTGGGAATGCGGTCACCAGAGCAGAAATTTAGATTTGTTAGCGCACTGCAAATGTGGACATTTTTATTGATATTGATAACACGACAAACATGGTCTTTAGTTTTTAGATAAGCGTTTATAAAAACTTTAATGGGGGTGGTTGCAACGCCTTAGACCAGTGGTTCCCAAACTGGGGGTCATTTGACAATTTTAGGGGGATAATACAAAAGTTCAATATCTTATTTCTTTTGTAATTACCGATTTTTGTTGGTCTACGGGAAAACCAGTCGTGCAGTGTTAGGCAGGCAAACGGAGATCTAGGCAGCCAACATTGTTATGTCACAATGCAGTCAGGAGTGCGGCTGGCAGAGACATCATAACAATTGGACTGGGAGGAGTGATGGTGTTTTCTCCATTTTTGCTCATGCTTAGTGATAATGATATGAATCAGAAATTCAAGGCTCAAAATTGACTTTGCAAAGACAGATTGCAAAATTTTGGTTGGCCTATAACCTGAATGTTCCATCATTTTCAGGGAAGGATTAAAATTTTTTGACCTAATGTCCTCCGAGTTTACGAAAGGGGTAATTAGGCTTTTGGTAAATCGATTTTGGGGTAACTATACTAAAAAGTTTGGGAACCACTGCCTCAGACAGTGGGAACATAAAACTTGTATTCGTTGAATGGAAATTCCACAAAGATAAAAATTCAAGATATTCAACTGTTATTTTCAGGTGAACATTTTATAAACAAAATACAATACCTTTGTTCCCATTTATCGGTGATAGGATCATAGCATAATAATTCCTTCTGGAAAGAGTCATGTGTAATTCCACCAGATATATACATTTTACCATTGTAGACTGTACCTGGAAAAAGAAGGTGCTTGAGTCAGCGATATCAGACATTGAATTAATTATATCAATACTCAAATAGTAAGACATTCTATCATTTAACTTGAATATTATACATAATTTGAAATTTTAGTACAACAATGATTCAAAATTGATTTTATGTACCGACTTTGAAGTAGTAAAGATTAGGTAGATGCAACATTATGGATAATATTATACACATGACTACTCAATTCAAATGGCTTTATTGATGTCTAACGAGCAAATTGTATAAATCAGCATGATATTTTCGGAACACTCATTTGGCCTATGGTGGTATGTTTTATTCTAGCACAAAATTAGAACATAAAATTAGTATGCTGTCTGTAATCTACGAAATCTGGATAATGATAAATAATGTAAGATGGCACAAAAATTGGGAAACCAAATTTTTTATATAATGGGAAATGTGCTGCACGCGAATCAAATTAAAATATTAATAAAATTAGAAAGATAACAGTGATATTTGCCCCATAATATAGGAACACAAGGTCTTGTAACAATGTAATGTGGTTTCTGTGGCATTTTGTACACATTTTGTCAAGTTAACATATGGCCTTGATTGTGTGAAAAGAACGGAATTCAACTAAACCAATCTGTGCCTAAGATGAAATTACAGCTCCAAATCTGTCACGAGAGAGTAAAAAATGTTTGTGGTGTATCACGCCGCATTAGAAAGGATTGTAAGGTATGTAGCATGAGAAATAACCAGTGCCGGCAACCAAATCCTTTATAGGTAATGAACCCTATCAGCAATCTGGCATATGATACAAATTTCTATTGACTAAAACAGTATTTATTCTGACTCAAGCTTATTCAAGTGTTGTTGAGTGGGACAATATTAAGTGACAAAATCATGTTCAATCAAGCATAGGTCGCAGGCAAGGCAGTGAGGTAGATCGAAGGCCCATGTTTGATCAAGATACATCCGTCAGAGCGGCTCAAGGGAAATATAATGGCATATAGATAAAAGAGGATGCTGACTAAGTATTGCCTTACAATAGATCTCAAATTTCAGTTGTCTTGATTCGACTGGTTCTTTTTGAACAATTAAATACCCTGGGAAGGATTTAAAATTTATAGACACAGTCCTACTGGCGTCGGAACTGGTGCCAAGGTTGCTGTAATAGATGAAGCTGAAGCTACTAAATTTGATTCAATTACTTGTTATTAATATTGAGAATTTCCTGAAACTTCATAAAATATTGGAATCTCTATCTTTTCTGCTTGTAATTTTTTGTTTTTTTTCAATAGGTAATTAATTTCTAATATTAATTTCAAAGTTAAACACGTATAATAAAAAGTTTTGAGGTTAATTTCAAAATTTGAAACCACTATATCAGGGTTGGGCAATTACTTTTCTGAGTGGAATATGAAAAACTATGAATAAAAAAACAGTTTACTTATAACAGCTAGGCTAACAATTATGTAATAATAAGCACAATGTACCAATCAGAGTCAATATGACATTATTTTCATCGATATTATCAATAGAAACTTATATCCATAAAAACTATAGTCATAATTTCAGCAGACACAAGTGGGCCCAATGAAGCAGTTTGATGGGCCGGATCCGGCCAGTAATTTGCCCACCCCTGCTTTATATCATCCCACTGTCGCAAAATTGCATTGCATATCACGAAACATCAATGTCTATAAAGACGTAGCAAAATGAAGCTCTGTTGTTGGAGTAAAAGTTCGAATATACTGTGTTTTCGGAGCTAGGGGGTGGAGCAAAAAAGTTTCTGATAAACTTATATTAGTTATGTAAATAAATACCTGCATGTCCATAATGTGGTTCCCTCATTTTTTCAACAAATGTCCATTCATTAAATTGTGGATTATAGCATTCAACATTGGATAATTCACCTGCTGCATTACGTCCACCTACTGCATACAACTTCCCATCGATTGCACTAGACATAAGATGAAGATATATTACACATAATGCAGTAGGATGTAGAAGATTAAAATTATTGAATTGAGCATTCCAAGATTGTAAATTGGCATATAATCTTATAAGTTATAATATAAATCAATTTTTAACTTGGTATGAGAAAACAAATATTGATTGGTCAAATTGAGTTGTTGAGTGTCCTGGTTCATAAGCAGAAATGTTATTTTTAATACTTTAATAAGATCACTTCATTTGAGTGTAAGCAAATAGTTTAAATTATGGCAAATAGGAAAGTTTCACACGAATGCAAAAGCTCCCTATGTCTGAATGTTTTGTGTTTATATATACGATCATAATATAAGAAAAAATAAATTTTAAAATAATAAAAATATTTTTTTATAAAGTGAGCCATCGGGTGTGAAACAAGCGAAAAAATAGATGCCACATGTTTGAAGAAAACCATATAAAAATTGGAAAAATGGTAAAAAAAAATGGAAAAATTGTCATGATGTTACAGCAGTAACCGTGTATTATATCCCACCCATAGTTCATCTGAGTTTAAGACCATTTCTGCATTCCTTTGAATTATTTACAAAAGAAAAGTAATGGTTGAACGATAACTACATAACAACAAGGCTAGCACAGATGTTTGAATATAATAACATGTTGAAGAAAAAGGGCTCTTTAGCTTGAAAGAGACATTCCAAATCCTTAAATTGACATATGGTTTCCCACTTGGATAAGAAAGGAATTAATGTATGAATTTACCCCAGGGAACGAAGGGTGCAAAAATTGGATAGACTATGCAGAACCTAAAAAACTACGGTCATTCCTAATTTTGTCAGCATCTTTCTCCTTTCCTATCAGTTGCTTGCATAGAGACTTGTTCAGGGTGAAAATGTAACTTGACCAACAAAAAATCTTCTTCAGGACATAATGAATTAAAAAAAAAATCATAAACAAAGATTAGACAGATAAATAGTAATATCATAATCTCTTTCCACAGAATAACGAGTATATTTGTAAGCTATTCGATTCGATAAGCTGTTCGATAAGAATTGAGACTATGATCAAACGATAGCTAACGCCAAATATACTTGCTATTTTGTGAAACGAGATTATACTATTCTTATTTATTTATCCTTATACTAATATCTCGTTCAAGCACCCTCGTGACGAACACATACGAATCCGAAGTACAAAATAAACAAGGAGAAAGGACTTGCAGTTCAATAAAACACATATCCTAGTACCCTAGGGTTTATTACCCCAGGGTTTATTACAAATTCGAGAATAACAAACTTTTATAAATTTTCAATAGAGCACAATCAATCACATTATTTTGAATAATCTGAGCATAGGCAGCAACACAATCTTCATTTTCCCACACCAAAAATCATATGGAACAGAATTACTGTCAAAATGTTATCAACACCCAGACTAATTGATGTCTGTGGGTGTGTGAAAGTACACAGGGTGATAGCACTAAAGTTTTAGAATTCCTGTCAAGTGAAGCGATGCCACACAGGAGGTATGTAGTTTCGTATGACAAGGAGAAAATTCCAAGGTTGATTTAAAATAGTAAACCCATAGAAATAACACAAATAATTTATTTTGGAAACCCAAAAACGAGGTCAATTTATTTTTTTTTAAATGTGATAATCAAAACATATTTTCCATTTATGATATTTAGTTTTATAATTTGTCTTCAAATAATCGTCCTGTTTTTCACAGTTGAATTCAGATTTCCAGACACAGACTTCCTATTTTAAGTGGACACTGGTAATTATATGTCATTATAAAATATGTTACACAAAAAATAACCTTGGATAATGCTGTATCTATCATGGCTCACAATTTACAATCATACATACATAGAATTTTATACAGTAATCTTCCATTATAGAGCTAGTTTTCATAGAAAGGATTTTCAAATAATAATTGTTGAAATGACAATGCTGGCATTTAAAGTGGAATCTTTTGTCATTAAGTTGGTGAGGAAATATTAAATACTGTGTTTAATAACATTATGAGTATGGCGTCGATGACGAACGAATATAAGAATCAAATCTGAATTAATTATATTTGAAATTCTTGATTTAATAATGAATAATTCAGAATACCTTCATCTGAAAACTTGTTATTTTAGGAAATCAAAGGCTTACGTATGACAGTACAGGATGTCTATAAAGTCCCTTTACAGTTTCAATTTTGTTATGAAGTCAGTTCTTATTAAATCTCAATAACCAGGTTTGTTATTTTTTAATCTGTAATTGTTCAAGTATTTTTACTTCATTAATACATCTGTGAGAGCCAAAACAATATAATTATGGTATCCATAAATTCCCTTTGCTATTTAAAAAAAAAATAAAAGGACTTTATGGGCACCCGATATGATGAAGACGTTTAGTTCGTCTATTTAAAACTGATAATGATAAAAATAGAAAACTAAAAAATTACTGTTTATCTGTGACTTTGCTGCTGAGTTTCCAATGGAAACTTATTGCTTATCCATATTCAATTCTGTGTGTTGCTTGTTGTATATTATATTTAATATAGTCCCAAAACCATTACTATATAGGCCCTATTAAAAATATCATATTAATAAATGTATTTGGAAAAAGTTTAGATTTGGCCATCCTTGTTGCATAAATTAAACACTGTATCATTAATAACAGCAAAATTGGTATTATCAACTACCGTAATTGAAAATAAAACAGTGAACAATAAAAAATATTAATTCAAATACCTCAGATGAAAAAATGTTCTCTTTTCATTCAAAGATCGAACTTTTATCCATTGATTATATCGTGGATCATATCTGAATACTGTGTCAACGGCTGTCTTTCCTTTTGTGTCATAATTACTTTGTCCACCGACAACAAAAAGGAAATTTCCAATGACTGCAATACCGTGCTGGTATCTAGATAATATAAAAGAAATGAAAGTCATCAAATGTTTTTGTATGTATTGCAAAATTTTTTTTAACTATAAGCGGAAGTGAATTATCACCAGAGATACAAAAGACAAAAATTTGTTAAATGTATTTGGACACATATTCAAAAATGAAAAAAAAAAAAATAAATCATATTCCTTTTCTCTATACTAAATAAAGGCGTAAAAATTATGTCACACAAAAAGATGACTTGACTATGGATTTCTTCTATCATTTGAAAATGTAGGATTCAATATTATTCATAGAAAAACTGTCAGAACATGTTCATGTTTTGAGAAAAAACAAAAATGAAAATAATTTTTTAGTTAGCTATTACCTCATAGGCCTACTGAAGTGAAGTGTTTACCAAACAATACAAAATCCAGCAACTTCTATCAAAATCCTAGCAAATGTATAATAAAGATACATTGGCTGTTAAAATCAACCCAGTAGAGTGATATTGGCCCAAAAATAGAACCAAAATTAAGGCATAAGTCAGTGTTTAATTTAGAAATAAAACAAATAAGCCAGTTCAAAATCGTTGGCGCAGAAAAAGAAACTAACACCGAGCCATTATCTTCAAAAGCTAACAACAAATAAAGTAATGGTCGATGACCTATTGTCAGGCACGCGTGAAAAGAGCCACAGCTGGTGTGAGACCGAATGACAGGAGATTGGGCAGACATCAACAAATTGAAACCTTTACACAGATCAATAAAAATGTAAGGGTTACCTATCACCTTTAATTTACTCAGTTACATAATACTGAATTGAAACAATCTAGTTAGAAAAAACTAGCATAGCCGCTATTGGCTAGCAATGAAGCATGCCCTCAAGGTAAGACCACTGTATATAAGGAACATAGAAAACAGATTGACATTTCTAAGAAATGTATTTATTATAGTCATTATGTCCTAAACTTGATAAACTTTGAAAAAATTGAAAAATTATTCTTGGTCATACAGTTGGTGCATAGACTCCAGCTGAGCAAAGTAATGCAAATTGGAATGTCGTAGCAATATTGATATGTTGTTTTAATATGACAATTGTTGTTTGGTAAAATGCTGTTGTTGTTAAGATTATTCTTCTTCTTGTTGTTAGGAAAAATTCGATTTTCTCATTTATTGTTGGAACTAATATTTTGAAATTTTCAGTGGTTAAAGATTGTTGCTGTCGTTAGATGGCCATTACTTTTTATTTTTGTCATCTTATTGGTGGATACAGAACCACAGAAACATAGACAAAGTGGAAGCTACTCCTAATTGACCACATTTTTGCAAAATAACAAGCCCGGAATGTTCAATACAATATTAATCTAGAATGCGAGTGAATATTGTTATTTGTTAGTTGTCTTGTCTTTCCTCAAAAATAGATAATTGAACATAATATAGTGATGTGGTCAATAGGACAGTAACCTTGAGTTTTCCATCGGCGCTAGGTTGATCCATCTTTTCGACCTTTCGTCGAATATTCTCAAATCCATAGAGACATCCAATTGATGACGCAATACTCCACCTGTGAAAATTGAGGAATAAGTTATTGAATACAGAATCGTCAATATAGATAATGATAGGCCTTAATATCAGGGATCTGATGTTTAATATGAATTGTACAAAAATATGTGCTCCCGTAGTATGTGTACCAGGTTAAGGCTAGACCATAATTTTATTCCGATTTTCCTTATTTTAGTGCTATTACGAGTCCGGGGACTGTCTGTGTTAGCCAAGTGAATATCCCCCCTGCGCATAGGTTTCAGCCCCTTTACACGACTTGATGTAAAATAGGTGAACCAATTAGCTACCTCCATATTGGTACACAATACCGCTGCAGAGCCCAAAAATTTACTCAAAACAAGGTTATAAGCACTACCTCATAAGTAGCATTTATAGAAAACAGTCACGCAAAAAAAAAATGACAAGATTAAAACAATATTCAAGGTTAACAAATTAACATGACATGGATTTCAACTCATATTGATTGAAAAATCTATAAAGACATTAAGTTATTGTGATGTAGAGGAAAAATTCAATTTGGTAGAAAATCAGTGTTATTCTTAGCTAATAATAAACTCTAATTTGAGAAAATATACCTTGTAACCTAATAAAAAAATGTTATGAAGTTTTTGAATTGAGTTGATAACCAAAGTGTGGGCAACATGAAATATTTATATTTATACATATTCAATTGTTAGAAGTCTGTTTTTGAACTTCCTATTATTAAACAGTTTAAGATAAGTTATACATTTCTGAAAAATTACAAAAAAAAAAATTATTTCACAGGTAGTTGTTTCAATGTATTTCAAATCTTTTATAAACTATGGACATTCGTTTTATAATTTCATTTGAGAAAATCAATGTGGACAACTTACCTAGAGTAACAAGATGTGTTGCATCACTTCTTATACTTGTTCTATTACTTTGTAATATTGGTTGCATATATGGCACCATTCGATATGTTGAAGCCTCAAGTAATAATGCCATACAGTCTTTGTTATTCCGCATGAAATCCACAGACTGGAAAAACATAATAAAAGTAAAATTATTTATGCCAGGTCGTTATCACATTTTTAAACACAATTTGAATACAAAAATAGCAAAAAATATTTTGGATTTGATGAATATAACAAATAAATAGAGGACCATTTCTTTACCTTATAATCAGCAAAGCTATTAATTTTGTTTTTCTTTCTTTAATTGAAGAAATTTGGAAGGTTGCACGCACTTGCTAAGAAGTGATGGAGACTTATGGAATACTTATGGAGGTATAAAAATTTCATTGTCTAGCTGAATGGTAGGGCTATGCCTATAATGACAGTGAATGGATGTGACCAAGCTAACTAACAATATTGCTGTCCTATTAATTCAAAAAGGTTTAATATACAAAATTCGATTTGCATGTACATAGCCTAATTTATGTTGCATATGACCAATATTACTGTGGATAGCCGAGTTTTAAACAGATACAAAATTTCAATATGATGTCTAAAAACATAAAAACACTATCAGCGTATGTATTGTATGTATCAATTGATTAATATAATTAATTGTCAATAATTGATTGATCGACTGAATTTGTCTCACCTGGACATGTGTGATAAGGTCATTTGGTGCAATAAGAGGAAATCGAATGTGTTCCATGATTCGTGCTGCGTATTGTGCTCGATTTTCAAGATCATATTTCAACCATCGTTTCGCAGCGTTAAATAAATTGAGTTCACTACAATCCTAAATTGAAATGTGATTGTTGAAAAAATTACAGGTCTAATTTACGCAATTCAAAAAAATGGACATAAAATTGCGGCAATAAAATATAATTTCATATCAAACAAGTTTTATACCAATAATATATCAGACGACAGACATGTCATATAATCAGATGATATCTTACCTTCAGGCTGTTGCTTGATAACAAAAATGTAAATCTTTCAATTGGCAATTTATTGAAATCGAAAACTTGATTGAAATGCTGAAGCATGAAACTGTTCACATAACTATCGACAGCTTCCAGATTATAAGCATTAGCAATGTGGCCGATATCAAGACAATTGTCTAAAGTTACTTCTCCCATCAAGAATTCCTGAAAGAAAAGAAAGGGATTAGTAAGAACATAATTATTGTATTATAAAACAAACATATTACTCTGACACAAAGAAAATGTAAAAACAAATGGTTATAATCTGTTTGATTGGGGCGGGATTTGCTACTGGTTATAGATAAAACTGGTTTTTATATCACTATTACAATTCAAAAAGTTTGTTTAATTCTTTATTATCAATAGACTTTTTTCATAATTCTTTATTGATTTTGTGTGAATAGAAAGGGATTATTAACCGAGGAATATAGAGATATGACAACCCGGCAAAAAATGTTTATTTTCACTATATCTATTATGTTATTTAGTGATTAGTGAATCAATAAAAAGAATTGTACGCAGACAGAAATTTTGAGAACAGAAGGATGCACCCTTTCTGTATATGTCACAATAATATAAAGACAAATAATACCAGCGGTTATATAACTTTATAACTGAAGTTTATTAATAGTGAATGAAAATTTATATTCCACTGCCCCCTTGACGCTTACACAAACATGTCCAGATTTAACATAAATAAATACCGTAAATATTGTCAGTACTCTTAGAACTCACAGTAATATGAGAGTATAATATTCAAATACTGTAAATTTCGTGCATAGCTATGACTGTTTTAGATAAATATTTGGAGAGTATGATACAAATTTTATTACTACTTCTCTATTTTCAATACAAATGATTCACCAGGACAATGAAAATAAAGAGTATTTGAGAAACCAAATGAAACCAGGTAGAAATGAAATTATGTCATTCACAGTGCTTTCAAATACCAAGGGAAGTATGCTACATCTCTTCTGTACATTAGTTCAAAGTCATTGGTCCAACTATCAAAAAGTACAAAATTATATGAAACACCATGGATGGATTGATGAATAAAGTTATTTCCACTGGTTTCAGGTTCAATTACATATTATACAATGGTAAACTCTATGACATAGGTTCTCGAAGGGCTCCGTCAGAGAAACCCAGGGGTTTCGAGAACTTTTCATTTACTTATTAAAATACTGGATATGTTATAAATACAAAGCAGCAAATACATCCGAGTCATTGATTAAAGTAATTTTAGTTTCGTCAGGGACATTTATCGGAAATAAAAATAAGTTTTTTTGTTTTTATTTGTATATATTTATTGTGGATTTGTGGTACCCGTGAATAATAGCCACACTCTTCACGGGCTCCATAACACCAAAAGTTTGAGTACCCCTCCGCTATGGTACGTTTCATACATCAGAAAATTGGTTAGATGTATGTGTTCATAGAATGACAGTCAAAGGCTGACATGACAGTACTCCCATAGCGTGTGAACCAGGTTAGGGTTAGGCCATAACTTTATCCAGATTTTCCTTATTTTAGTTCGATTACGAGTTCGGGGACTGTCTGTGTTAGCCAAGTGAATATACCCCCTGCCCATGTTCAGTCACTTTACACAACTTGATGTAAAGTCAGCAAATAAAATTAGCTACCTCCATATTGGCAAACACACTTCTAGACAACAACATGACTATGTAATAATATATTATGAAGCGAATAAGATTGAGCCATAGACTAGACTAGAGCCTTCAATAGTAACATTGTTTCAGACCACATTCTATATTTATAATTATTTTCATTATTGAATTGAATTTTATTAACTTCATGAAATTAACAGTGAAAGTATTGTCATTGAATTCCATAATCCTACGTAATTCTACACAGAACATGAATTAATATTACGCATGAATGGATCATTGACGTTTATTGATAGAGAACTGATACTTAATAAAATTGAAGTCATTATAAAACATCTGTTCTTTCATTAAAAGCAATAATTGGTTGAGCTTAGTGTAAATTAGGTTGTGTATACAGGATAAACAGGAATTACATTTTACTATCATTAACACCACGCATAAGATATAAATCCACATCAAATAATCAGTTTTTTCATAAGCAAATATAAAAATTTCCAACCCTCAAATTAATGCCTCTTGATATAATATATGACTGATATTGTACAAAATATAGTATGTGTCCTGTAACGATGAATACCTTTATCAGAAATTGATTAAAAAACAGGAAATGAAGTGGGATTACGACATTTGAAATGACAAATGAGTTGATTACTATATTTTTTGTATGTTGTTCAATAAAAGTTCAATAAAACTCATTGTTTCAACTAGTTATTCTATGTCATATGCCACTGGGACAATGGGTGTAACAATCAGTCAGGGAATCAGAATTCATATTCTCCAATGACATTTGTATAAACATTATCGTTGAATCATTTCCTCTTGTAACTTCACAATGAAATGTTAATAAACCGATGCCTATACTTTATCAACTATTTATAGGTCAAATGAAGTTCAGAGTCAATTTTGGAAATGTCATTACGATTCCTAAAGCCAACAAAGTTTATGAGATTACCGGTAATCAACGCAAGAGTTTCAAGACAAAAGGGCAAATGTATCAAAAAAGTTAAAAATTACAAATCAAAAATGTTTTTTCCACTTTCTCTATTTTGGGTCGAAATCTGGTTTTCTGTATTTTTAATTTAGTGTAAATAAAAAATTGAATAAGGCATACCTTGCAAAAATCCAAGACGGGCATCACTTGTAAATGTGAAGCAGCGGCAAGAATATCTTGAATATTGTCCAGAGATAGAACTATGTTTCCACTGTAGATAAATTCTAATACTTTTTCCAATCCAGTTGCAGTTACGCCATGTAGTTCAACACTTCCTGCCACTCGTTCTCTCATTTCCGACGTAAACATAGCTGAAATAAATACCCAAGATATTGAAAATATTTTCCTTTGAAAATGTAGAGTTCAAAAAAGAAATGAAACAGAAAGAGACCTTGTAAATATGGTTATATTGAAAACGGTACATACAAACGATCTAGCCTTGGGGGAGAATCTTGATATGATCCCAAAATTGTTTCGAAATTCCAACTATCATGCAGAATAGATTCCAATTTCAAACAGTTAAAACACATCTTTATTACACAAAATATAATATATACATAGATTCAACAAGAAATAACAAATATCAATATAATCATAAAAATAACATAATAATAATAATCTATTTGACAGTGAAGTCAAGATATATCTGTGCACCATAATTTATTTCACTAAAGTGAATATTTCTAAAATTGACGGCAGATGAAAAATTCAATGAGAGACCGGTGTTTGTCTCACATATATCTTTTACCTTGGCTTCCATTAAAGTTTGCCCAAACCAAATGTTGCGGACATTGTTGATAAAAGGCATTGAAATCAAAACTGGTAAATTTAATTTTTTTTGTTAATACTAGAATCAGAGCCATATGTTCGAATTCCAGAGAGTTTTGAACTTTTATAATTCAAGTTTGTTATTAATTGATTATACAAGTTAAACTAAAATTTTGTTTTAGGAAAGAATTAAGCAACAAATGATAATCTAATTGCTATATATACGCTTATATCATTGTGATATACCAGTATACAGCCAAAAATATTGAAAAACTCAACACTGACATGAAAGATTTACTGGGCTGAAGTCAAACGCTTTCAAATGCTAGATTTGGAGGTCAATCCAAATTTGGGAATGATAGCTAGGTAATTAAACTGAATGAAAAGCACAAAATATGCATGATGGCCTGGTGGATAACTCTATTGGCATTACAAGGTTGAAATGCCGTGTCCACCACCTCACCCATGGTGTAATAAATTGGGTAGCCAATTTCAAACCAGAAAGATTACGCCATTCAAAAAACAGTAGTTTTGTTACATATTGTAAGATGTCAGTGAATGCTTGTACGGGGCCTTGTCTGGAGTGAAAGGCTTGAATGAGCATCGGCATAAATAAATCTTGACACCATTTATCTGGATAATATTCAATTTAATGAAAACAGTGAAAATATTCCATTTCTACCTACAATATTATGAAATCGCATTGGAAGATATAAAATTTATTGACAAATTGGTACCATAGTTGAAAGTATAATAAATATTAGTACCTCGAAAATAATCCGATGCTGAAGCTAAGAGAGCTTTATGAACATTGAATGAGGAACCATCGGCACACAGAGTAACATCGCACAAGGCATGCAGATCACGTAATTGATGAAATCCTCTTAAAATAGTCGGTGAATAAGTACTTGACGAGAAAGCTTTATTCGTTGATGACAATGTAGTGACGGATTCTTGCTTGGATTCTGAAAAACGTGAAAAATGTTCATTTTCAAATGAGTTGAATGTTTTGGAATTTTACAGTTAATTATTGCAAAATTATGCAATTTCAATTGATTTGTACTATTTCTTTGATTAATGAATAAAATTATTTGCATAATGTTCAGATGTTCAGAAGTAATATCTGAGCCATCGAAAAAAAATTTATGCACCCAGCAATCACAACTACAGAACTACCGACTGACAGAACTCAAAAACTATGGCAAACTAAGATTAGAATTTCAGAATTTAGGTATGATCTTTGGGGTCTCATGTAGTTTCGTACCTACAGACCTAATATACTGCTAGTGAGAGTAGCATAACAATTGTTTCACATTTCAATCCTAACCCCCACCTGACTACGCCGTTCAAAAATAACAACATTACGACGTCACAGTCATGTAATAGAGCCCTTCAAACCATACAAACTGCCATCCAAGACGCGCAGACGAGCACCCGAAATCGAACAGGTATTTCTGTATTTCTCTCGTTTTCTCGTCACTACGATCCCAATAGGAGAGAGATCGGTGACGTTAGTCAGTTCTTTATCGTCGGCGCCGATGCCATTTCGGGCGATTGTACGTATATTTCAGTACCGGTATTTGGAAAGCTCTATGACGTGATCGTGATGTCGTAGTGATGTAATTTTTGGATCGCATAGTCAGATGGGGGTTACAGGATTAGGATTGTCATATCAAAAAATTGTTATGCTACGCCTACTAGAAGTACGTTAGGTACGAAACTACACAAGACCCGATCTAGGTTATAACTTACAGACTTAAATAAAAATCATTGACTTACCTCGTTTTGATTGAAACTTGCCTTGAAGGCTGTGCATAATGTTTCCTTTTACAAATTCCGACCAAAACAGCTCTAATATATGGGTTCTGACTAAGTAAAATAGAAAAATATGTATTTCCAGATTCTGAGATTTCAGTTTCCAGGACTCAGAAGGAAGGAAGGTAGACTACTGATTTAATGACATAGACTACAGTCTGTAACAGACATAGACCAGTAGTCTACCGATTGAATAAACTGTCAGTCTGTACCGCCGGTACCGGTACCGTACTGATGTGACCAACAGACTAGAGACTGCCAGATACTGCAGTACGGTACTGGGATACCGGTACGGTAACGTCTGAATATTCTGATATTAATATAAAAGTTAGCAGTATTCCGCAACTTAGGTTCTGTAGATGGTAAAACAACCAGACTACGATATTTAAATCGAAAATAGCCACGATCACACAATGAACGATGAAACAGCAAAAAAGACAAAACAAAGCATAGGCATAGTCTACCGGTACTTCCGTCTTCGAAGGCGACTGAGAGATGTCAAATGTCAGTTTGTTGTCAGTAGAAATTTTCCACGCGGAAATAAAGAAAGTTATTATCCCACGTTTCCCAACCAAGGAAAAATTTCTCAAATGAGTGATTTTGATATTTTTGAGAAGGAAACATCACTTTGTATTTGGTGTAGTTTCACAAAATTTGTTTGGTTATTTAATATTATTAAAATACCCATTCATGGTTTTGTTATAAACTATTCAAACTGTGCAAAAGCCGGAGTGCTGGTTGCGCATGGCGCAAGCTTCAGGCTCATTTAAGATTAAACAAATAACCGAAACATAGTTTTTATGCACATAACAGTGAGGTTAGAGTTAAAATAAAGATGTCCAAACTGGCCATAAGGTAGAATTTAGTAAAAAGAATTGGAAACCACTGTATAACCGATTTCTGAATTATGGTAGCCAAGTTACAGTAGGAATGACAATTTCTTTATATCATAACAATTTGTCATTCTGATAATAATAATTATAAGTTTATTTCGACTCCATAATCAGCATAACAATACATTTGACAGATAAAAACAAATAAATAAAAACTGAATATGAAATCAGGGGAGCAAACAAAACCTTAGATAAGGTTTATAACGTACAAAATATAAGATGGAAGGTTTTTCCAAGCGGAAGTGGTACGTGTTTACTCACCTAATAAGTCAGACTCATTTTTTGTTTTTGTTTAGAGCAGCGTTTCCCAAACTTTTTTGGCCACGGAACACTTGCATCTTTTATCTCGCCTCGCGGAACACCAAAAATTGATAAATAAAAACGGTGCAATGTAGCGGTTTCCAATCTCTGTCGCGAGTTGCCAAATGCTCCGCGACAACTGACAGAATTGTGTTAAACCTTACGGTTAAAAATACCTAAAAATGATTGAATATTTTGCATATTGCATTTATTATGAATGTTTTGTATAAAAATCAATTCATTCATTTTGTCATTCTATGTCGTTTACTTTCCATTAGATAGGGCTTGCCTCTAATGTTACGTCTAATGGAGATAGAAGTACCTGCTACAGTTTATTTATCTACTCAATATGAAATTTTGAATTTTTTTTTCAGCATTTAGTAAAACCAGGCAAATATAAGGTAAGAATAGCGACGGTTTTCAAAAATTCCACTACCCCACCCTAATTAGTCCACTTTAGGCCGACGGTGACGCGATATCGAACGGTTAGTTGGGCGACAACTTCACTTTCCATGGATCGCCATGGCAACCATTTTAGACATATTTTTGATTTTTTTTCCACGGAACACTTCGAGATCATAAAGTTTACAATGACTAATAGCTTGTGCCGCATTGTGATAAGCGTTAGGAAAATGCTCGCCATCGCCCCTCTGAATACCAGGTTCGAATCCTCCGAGGCGTTATTTATGTGCGAGAGGATTGCTAGACTCTTCGCCGCCGTAGAATGGTTCACGTAATTCCTGGTCCGTTACGGCTCCCTCCACCATCAAGTCCATGCATCTGAAAATAAATTACTGCCACACTCATCCCATACCCGACGTGGACTCGTAACCGGACAAGATGTCATGGTTCGCCATATAACTAACCCGTTTCGACGGCTTTCCTCTCCCCGAGATAAATATGTAAATCCTATCCTCCTTAATCCGAACATGTCTAAGATTGTTTTTTGAAAACCAGTAGCTGCGTTTAAATATATATCACAATACAGAGATACGAGGAGATACAGAATAGGATCCTAGCTTAATATATATTCTAAAACATTAAAATATTCGCAGATGATGTACGAGAACCACCGAACTAAAAAAACAACAACAAATTGTCGCTTTTCACATTTCACTATCCCAAATGGAAACTCATATTTTTTGACTGGTTAGTATTGTTTTTATTATTAATAAATTTTGTGCATGTTATATAATATTATCATGTGGTAAAACAAAATGGAATATTGCCTTTATTTACATTTTGGCATGAAATTGATTAGACTAAATATAATTGGGCGTCAATATCACTCTGGAACTCTTAATAGAATGCCGCGGTTGAAATTTGTACAAATTACATTCAAATATTCGTGATAAAATCTACTCATCTAAATATTCGGCATATATACTGTTTTCGTGGACCTTTAGAAGTATTGCACCAAGATGGCGCACAATCTGAACATAGTAGTTGTACCAGATTAGGGTTCAGGTTGTGCGCCATCTTGATGCACATACTTCGGGAGCGCCGTTTTCGTTATAATGCTTGAAAATAAAGTTTGTTAAGTCCTTAGTTTTATGTTCGGTCTTTGTCGGAGTTCTTGTAAATCTTCAAAGAAAATCGTGTGCCATGTCGAGAGGTCTATCATATTTCACAAAGAACGCCATGAAACTTGTAGGAATTTTCTTGATTCCACATTCCTTTATATGAGAGTGATGCATCGTTATTAACACGAACTGACATTTGTGTTTTGATAGAAATTAAAGATGGCCATCCGCTCAACCAGTTAACGTAGGGAGCTGGTCTTCCGTCATCCAAACGAACCTCTGAGGTCTGTGTAGAAGTGCTGTGTTATTTAGGAGCCTATATTATAACATTAGTCCTAGGCAGCATTGCAGCAATGGAATAAACATACTCTCCTAAGTTAAGCAATGTGTGCAGTATGATGCCCGGTATTATGTAGAAGAGAGAAGCCATTTTATATGTGAAATTTTGTTACGTTTTAATATGATATCATAATTTGTGGCTTGCACAAAAACTGATATATTACTATGTTGTTTATCGGTTTTCGAAGACGGCATTATAAGATAACTATTTTGAAAAAAAAATAAATAAATCAGAAACAACTAACTGCAAATTTTTAGGAATTCTCATTCCCCAATCTGCTTCTTTTATACATTCTAACAAAACACTACAATATCATCGCAAACCGTTGAATTGAAGCTCATTCCGAGAAGAATTTCGAAGTGTTGAGCATCCATGTGTTGTGACATATATCCCATGACTTTATCATAATGTTGCAGAGAGTAAATATTTGCCATTTTTCCGTTAAAAGATCTGCATAGGGTCTTGGCTTTATCGAGAGTCATCTTTTGAACTATAACTAAATAACATTTCTTCTTGTATATCACGCCATCGCAAGATTCTGTAATACGTTGAAAACACCCATTACAAGATTGCAATATTAAGACGGCTTTATCAATTCGCGAACCACGGTCTCTTGTCCGATTACCATTCCATGTAGGGCAGTGTTTCCCAACCCGAGTCCGCGGTCTCAAATGAGTCCGCGGAGCGTTTAAATGAGTCCTCAACGAGCAATACCGTTTTAGAAAGTTATGTAGTAGTATATCACTAGGTCACTAAGCTTTTTAGTGTCGCGAAATTCATTGGGGGTCGAGAACGTTTTTACTAGACTTATTAATTAATTAATTAATAGAGTCAATAATTATCGATTACTGAGTAGGGCTGGGCAAAATACTCTAACATTTAACCATTAGAATACCTGGTAACACGTGACTTAGACATGACACGTAAATGGCACCTCTCTGAATCAAACGATTGGATTGCACAACGCACTTGCGGAATTCTGACAAATACACGAGTCTACACGAACCTTTTGCTTAGTTAAAATTTTTTATATAAAGTTGAGTGTTATATTTGTGTCATGAAATACCATCAAGTGAATTCTATCAGATCTTAACGGATACTCAGAAACAATATTTCAGAGGTTATGTTTTGAAGCAAAAGTAACACAGAAAAATACAAACAGAAAAAAATCAACGAATCCAGGAGTCAGCCGTAAAGATATTGTTAATTTTTCAATTTTACGAAAACAATAAAGATAATTAAAGCCGACATGAAAGATAATAATGAGTTTATTTGGAACTTTTCAGCTTCAAAATCTATCCTATAATTTTACTCAGCGAATCGTCGCCAGTGATCGCGTAATATATTTAAAGTTTGTCAGAGCGAGCAGTTCTTAATGACGGAGCACCATCGCTATGGCTCCCATCGGAATTTGTAAATGTGGATAATAAACTGACATCGGTAAAATTCCGTTGTTTTTTATTTTATTTTTCTTCTTCACTCAGAGTTCAATTACAAAATTAACGCACGTTAAGTCCGAAAATATTTTCTTTGGTGAGAAAATAGTCCGCGACCAAACGCTGATGCAGGGTATGTTTATAGTTAACCAGGCAGTTGTTTCATATGTATGTACTTGATGGGGGAATCCGTGACCAATCAGCGGTTACGTGAACAATCAAGTGACGACTGGAATCGTGGAATTGTCGTCGGACATTCTTATCCTCACGGAATTCGAACATACGAACGGCAATCAGCGGTTCGATGGCAAGTGTGTCACTAACGCTTAGCACAATGCGCCAATTACCGAACTTCTGCATTTTTCCTATCAAACTTTAGAAATTCGATCTAAAAACTTATTGACGTCAATTTGTATTTACCCGGTTGTGTCTCATTGTCTTCTTTTAGTGTTTTTAATGTGTTTTTAATATCTTCTACGGAATTCACGAGATCGGCTTTCAGTTCGTCTATTTTCTCTGTACAAAAAATTATTTGTAATCGTTTGATAATTTTAAAATTTTCTAAATTTTTATCTCATATTTTAATTTGTCTAATTTCTAACAGCGACAGTGAGTTGGAAATTAGATTATTTTGATCTACTGCAATCTAAAATTATAACTTTTCTCTTAATTGGAAAACCAACCTGCAACTTTTCTATTTATCATTTCTCTAAGCAGTGTATAATTAACATGTCCGGGAGGTCCCCGAGGTCCAGCTTTTCCAACTCGGTCTTGAAGTATTTTTGCGTTGTAATCTACGATCTCGTTATGTTCAGTAGCCTGCATTCGGCAATATGCATCCAGTTGAGCAGTGAGATACACATCGTAATTCTGCGCCGTGGTGATACATATGATGGCAAAGAAAGCCAGTGAAGTAGATTGTAGTTTTATCATTCTTACCTAATTTTCACTTCCCTGGCAACAAAACGTACTTATACTTAGTAACGGCATAGAAAGTTGAATGCGTTGCTTTTACAAATCAGCATAATAGAAAATCAATAATACAGAAAAGGGTTCTTCTCATATTGCGCGCATGATCCTCATCAAAACGCTACAATAACAGAGCTGCGCAAAATTATTGTGAAAACAAAAGCCCTATATATCTGGTTGTTCCTATAATTTTATAAAATCTTGAACTTCTATCTTGCTATGTTATTGCTATTTGGGGCCAACAATTGTTTGCGGTTTTTTGGAAATCTATTTATTCAATCGTCAAATATATAAAAATCAATTTCCTATTTTGAGAAACATAAAGAGAATTTACAAAATACACAAATATCATTCTTCTCAGTTATTTTCTACTGTGCTTCCCAATACTGAGCAAAATGTGTTCTGGTTTTAATTTATACCCTGTTGCTCAATGTACATAGCTGACAACAAAATTCCATAACGCGCATTCTCCGAAAATGGTTTCACAACAATATTTTGCATTGTGTGTGTGTGGGGGTTTTGCTGAAGTTGAAGTTATCGGAAATAAGCCAGCCTTGCTGAAGATTAGTATCCCGTAAACTATGTAGGCTACGTTACTGATACTTTCCCAGAATCTCAAACAAATTAAATTCTGAGAGATGCTAATCTCGGTCTGAATAAAATATTTTCAACAACAACAAGGGTTTATTTATACAATAAAACACTCGAGAATTTCCAAAGAATAGTTACTCGAACTGTTTGTCATCAGTATCAAAATGATTACAAAAGTATTTGGTAAACAGTGTCTGCATAATACAGTAATATACTATAACCTCGTTATAATTCTGCAAAATATATAGTACATTTATCCTTATCGTGTGTGGTTTTTCAGGAGTTTATCAGAAATATGTTTTTGCTCAATCATTATAAAATTAATTTTTTTCCGTCAGAATATTATCCAACAGATGTAAATATAATCACTGTACGTTGCCATCGGTATGACGGTGAGAATATGGCGCCTCATGAAATTCAGAGCAACAAAACTACAAATAGTGTGTAGATTGATGTCCATCACTACATATTAATAACCACTTTCACTTTTTGAAAATATTTTTTATCTAGGATTAACATATTCCAGAACTTGTTTTGATATTTTGTAGAAGTATGTACACCGTACACAATTGACTGCATTCTAATCATCGGCAAGGCTGGCTTACTGTTGGAATCTCCGGCCTCAGCGCAATCCCACAACGAGCGTTGAAAAATAGGCTATAGTCAAACCATTTTTGAAGAATACGCAGTCTGGAATTTTATTGTCGGTTACGAACTACTAACGAAATATAAATTGAAAAACTATATAGTACCGGTATATACCAGTATTTCCCAAAATTTTTGGGCCGCGGACCCTTATTTGTGAATCTTAGTTTTGACGCACCCCAAAACTATGCCGTATCAATTTCTGTGCCTAACCAACGAGTAAAGATAATGTTTCATTTACAATACATACGACAGGTTGTTTTTCACTGCACAATTAATCGTTTATCCGAGCAATTTGTGACAAGCAAACTCATAGATCGGACTCTTCGGCAAGTCTCGACCCGTATTTTGTCAGCATAATGATAAGAGGTGAAAAAGCTGCCTCGCGCATGTAGGTCGTTACAAAAGGCAATACAATTTTAATTGACTTTTCTGAATGCAAGGATATTCGTCCGCAACGCTCAACCAAAAATATGCTATTGCTCTTTGATTAAAATCAATCATTAAATATCAATCAGACTTTTTTCATATCGTTGCGGACCCCCTGTGCAGTTGTCACGTACTCCAAGGATTCCGCGGACACCAGTTTGGGAAACCTTGGTGTATATACTATATAATATACGAATCAGGATTGCATTTGTTAAAACATTACTTTTTTGTCTATCACCAATCTTGAATCATTTATCTCGCACAGTTTTTGGCTTAAAATAGCTTTATATACTATATCAAGATATATATCGAGAGATTATTCAGGAACGTTAACTTTTATGTTCGACATTTTAAAAGTTTATTTACATTGGAACAACCAAATATCTCTTGCTATTGTTATACAATAACCTTGTTCGTCGCGGTTATTGCTATTTGAAGCGTTTTCAATCTACGTTTTTGATGATCCTGCATGTAATATGAGAAGGAACTCTTTCTGTATTATTAGTTCTCTAATATGCTGATTTTGTAAAGTAACGCATCCAACATTCTGTGCTGTTACTAAGTGCCGTTTTGTTGACAGGAAAGTGAAAATTAAACAACAAAGATAAAACTGCAATTGACTTCACTAACTTTCTTTGCCATCATATGTATTACAGCGGCTCAGAATTACGATGCGTATCTCACTGCTCAACAGGATGCATATTGCAGAATGCAGTCTACTGAACATAACGAGGTCGTAGATATTAACGCAAAAATACTTCAAGACAGAGTTGGAAAAACAGGACCACGGGGACCTCCAGTACATGTTAAATATACATTGCTTGAGGAAATGATAAATAGAAAAGTTGCAGGTTGGTTTTCAAACTTATTGCAAAGTTATACCAGTGTATATATATATTGTTACAAACATTGTTTCAAAAAAATATCAAAATTTGAACTTACTGTCTCTGGCAGTAATTGAACTAATAAATTAACGAATTTTGATTACAAAAATGTGTTTTTATTTGTCTGACAATATTTTCGGGGGAAATAAAAAAACTACACATAGGAAATGAAACACATATTTTTGTCAATGCAATACAATAAATTCCCAAAAGTTGGGAAATCCATTCAATTTATTCAAAAATATAAATTCTACGTTTCTGAATTCTTGAATATTAAATTCTTTAGAACAGAATATAGATCAAGAACATCATAGCAAAACAAATATACAAGATTTCTAGACAATAATCCTGAGGTTAGCTGTTAGCAAAACAACACATCAATAGTTTTGCCGAAATCACGCGCCACAACCACAAGTGTACGAGTGCATCCTTCGCAGAAACCGTTGCGTAACTGCAGAGAATTTTAGCCTACTTTACCTATTTAACCTATTTCTAGACTAATTTTTGATCAAATCATAAGGAAGAAAAATGTTGATTGACGTATTTGATTCATACTTAAATTTCGGAATCACGACCAAACTCTAACAAATCGCATTCAAAATCGCGAAAACGAGGTATTGTTTGAAACTACGACTAGTTAGTATTGTTTTATTATTAATAAATTTTGTGCATGTTATTTAATAATATCATGTGGTAAAACAAAATGGAATATTGCCTTTATTTACATTTTGGCATGAAATTGATTAGACTAAATATAATTGGGCGTCAATATCACTCTGGAACTCTTAATAGAATGCCGCGGTTGAAATTTGTACAAATTACATTCAAATATTCGTGATAAAATCTACTCATCTAAATATTCGGCATATATCCTGTTTTCGTGGACCTTTAGAAGTATTGCACCAAGATGGCGCCCAATCTGAACATAGTAGTTGTACCAGATTAGGGTTCAGGTTGTGCGCCATCTTGATGCACATACTTCGGGAGCGCCGTTTTCGTTATAATGCTTGAAAATAAAGTTTGTTAAGTCCTTAGTTTTATGTTCGGTCTTTGTCGGAGTTCTTGTAAATCTTCAAAGAAAATCGTGTGCCATGTCGAGAGGTCTATCATATTTCACAAAGAACGCCATGAAACTTGTAGGAATTTTCTTGATTCCACATTCCTTTATATGAGAGTGATGCATCGTTATTAACACGAACTGACATTTGTGTTTTGATAGAAATTAAAGATGGCCATCCGCTCAACCAGTTAACGTAGGGAGCTGGTCTTCCGTCATCCAAACGAACCTCTGAGGTCTGTGTAGAAGTGCTGTGTTATTTATGAGCCTATATTACTACATTTGTCCCAGCAATGGAATAAACATACTCTCCTAAGTTAAGCAATGTGTACAGTATTATACACGGTATTATGTGGAAGAGAGAAGCTATTTTATATGTGAAATTTTGTTGATGTCATAATTTGTGGCTTGCATAAAAACTGAAATATTCACTATGTTGTTTATCGGTTTTCGAAGACGGCATTATAAGATAACTATTTCGAAAAAAAAATCAAAAACAACTAACTGCAAATTTTTAGGAATTCGCATTCCCCAATCTGCTTCTTCTATACATTCTAACAAAACACTACAATATCATAACAAACCGTTGGATTGAAGCTCATTCCGAGAAGAATTTCGTAGTGGTGAGCATCCATGTGTTGTGACATATATCCCATTACTTTATCATAATGTTGCAGAGAGTAAATATCTGCCATTTTTCCGTTAAAAGATCTGCATAGGGTCTTGGCTTTATCGAGAGTCATCTTTTGAACTATAACTAAATAACATTTCTTCTTGTATATCACGCCATCGCAAGATTCTGTAATACGTTGTAAACACCCATGACAATATTGCAATATTAATGGGGGCTTTATCAATTCGCGAACCACGGCCTCTTGTCCGATTACCAATCCCTGTAGGGCAGTGTTTCCCAACCCGAGTCCGCGGTCTCAAATGAGTCCGCGGAGCGTTTAAATGAGTCCTCAACGAGCAAACCGTTTTAGAAAGTTATGTAGTAGTATATTACCAGGTCACTAACATTAACAGTACCAGCCAAGTTACGATTTGGCCCAGTGATTCCCAAAGTGGGCGATATCGCCCCCCGGTGGGCGAAGATGACACAGAGGGGGGCGAAAAAGTCGAAGGGGGCGATAGGGGGGCGATTTCGCGCAATCTGCTTTTGTTCGGCGCATCGTGCACTTGATTCTGTACTCTGTGTGCACTCGCAGGCTTGAATCATGTGGGCGATTATCACACGCGAAACGATTCACTGAATGGACCTTCCTCCGACCTTTGACCGCGGAGAATTCTTTGTATACTTTACCATTTTTAAATTTTCGGTGCTTAGTTTAAGAGTGGTTTCGCGAGTTGTTGCCTGTAAAATGGGATATTTGTTTCAAACTATCATTCTAATTCATACCATTCAACAATCTGTTATTTAAAAGTATCGAAAAGAATTCTTGCAATAAGGAAATAAAATTCATATTCTATTCGAGAGATTCATCACTGCTTTATTTTTGTAAGGACGTATCTTCTTAAAGTAAATCTTTTTCAAAATTTCAGAAACCATGCAAAAATATTCACTTCGATGTTTGGAAGTACATATTTGTGCGAACAATTATTTTCGAAAATGAAAATTACATAGAATAAGCAAAGAACTGGGATTAGTGATGCCCATTTAGAAAATGTTCCAATCGTGGCGTCGTAAAGCTATCAAGCGTGATACAGCAACAAGACAGTGTCACATTGAATGTCATTGTAATATTTTTTTATAAAACGACTGGGTTGTGTTCACGAATTGTCCCAGTTTTCGCGCTGTCCCGTTTTAAACTTTCAAAAAATATATTCGACCCGCAAATATCTTTAAGACTAGCAACCCTAAATTTTGTCCCGCGAGCAACATAATCTTTGCCGACCCCTGGGCCGTAGCCAATAGTCGGTCACGGCTTCTTCCACATCCGAGTCCATGAATCCAAAAACAAATGGCTGATTAATCCTATGGACTGGTGATCGGACTGGAGGCCGTGGTAGGATGAGGAATCGGGGATGAACTTTTCCGAAGTATTTTGGTGCAGGTCATCAGGCTGTAGGAATGAATTAGATGTACAAAAATTATTATTATAAGTTTGGGAAAATTAACTTTGTTTTTATTATTTTAATGTGAAATGGGGTGAATTTAGGGAGTGAAATGCTATAAGGCAAGAGTACACGGCAGTTTTTGAGGAGGTAGAACCCTGGTTTCTTTCATTTCCGACCTCTTATATGGTGAAAAAGGGGGTTTTCAGTCGTGCTACTATTGCTATCAAAACAACGAAATCGCCTTTCTATCAGTAAACGGGGTAATTTTAGATAAATATAATAAAAAAACTCGCTGAAGAACACCGAGCTCATCCATCTCATTAAAAAATACTATAAACTATGATTTGTCTTCTTATTGGGTCTGTAATATATTTGTTACTGACTTTATATTTTTTGTAGTGCCGGGGGGCGTTGAAGTTGTATAAAATACTTTAAGGGGGCGAGGGTCAAAAAAGTTTGGGAACCACCTACGTTAGTATTCAAATAAAACATAGAAGGCAAGTTTATTCACATAAAAATTAATTAATCGAGTCAATAGTTATCGATTACTGAGTAGGGCTGGGCAAAATACTCTAACATTTAACCATTAGAATACCTGGTAACACGTGACTTGGACATGACACGTAAATCTCACCTCTCTGAATCAAACGATTGGATTGCACAACGCACTTGCGGAATTCTGACAAATACACGAGTCTACACCTACACGAACCTTTTGCTTAGTTAAAAATTCTTATATAAAGTTGAGTGTTGTATTTGTGTCATGAAATACCATCAAGTGAATTCTATCAGATCTTAACAGATACGCAGTAACAATATTTCATAGGTTATGTTTTGAAGCAAAAATACATATATAAAAATACAAACAGAAAAAAGACAGCGAATCCAGAAGTCAGCCGTAAAGATATAGTTAATTTTTCAATTTTACGAGAACAATAAAGATAATTAAAGCCGACACGAAAGATAATAATGAATTTATTTGGAACTTTTCAGCTTCAAATTCTATCCTATAATTTTACTCAGCTAATCGTCGACAGTGATCGCGTAATATATTTCAAATTTGTCAGAGCGAGCAGTTCCTAATGGCGGAGCACCATCGCTATGGTTCCCATTGGAATTTGTAAATGTGGATAATAAACTGACTTCGGCAAAATTCCGTTGTTTTTTATTTTATTTTTCTTCTTCACTCAGAGTTCAATTACAAAATTAACGCACGTTAAGTCCGAAAATATTTTCTCTGGTGAGAAAATAGTCCGCGACCAAAAAAGTTGGGAAACGCTGATGCAGGGTATGTGTATAGTTAACCAGGCAGTTGTTTCATATGTATGTACTTGATGGGGGAATCCGTGACCAATCAGCGGTTACGTGAACAATCAAGTGACGGCTGGTCTAGTGAAATTGTCGTCGGGCATTCTTATCCTCACGGAATTCAAACATACGAACGGCAATCAGAGGTTCGATGGCAAGTGTGTTACTAACGCTTAGCACAATGCGCCAATTACCGAACTTCTGCATGTTTCCTATCAACCTTTGGAAATTCGATTTAAAAACCTATTGACGTCAATTTGTATTTACCCGGTTGTGTCTCATTGTCTTCTTTTAGTGTTTTCAAGGTGTTTTTAATATCATCTACGGAATTCACGAGTTCGGCTTCCAGTTCGTCTATTTTCTCTGTACAAAAAACAAAAAATTATTTGTAATCCTTTGTTAATTTTTAAATGTCTTTTTTTTTTGTTTAAATTTCAGTTTTTAAATTTTTTATCTTTATATTTTTTATCTTTATATTTTAATTCGTCCAATTTCTAACAGCGACAGTGAGTTGGAAATTAGATTTTTTTGACTTACTGCAATCTAAAGTTATAACTTTTCTCTTAATTTGAAAACCAACCTGCAACTTTTCTATTTATCATTTCTTCAAGCAGTGTATAATTAACATGTCCGGGAGGTCCCCGAAGTCCAGCCTTTCCCATCCGACCTTGAAGTATTCTTGCGTTGTAATCTACGATCTCGTTATGTTCAGTAGCCTGCATTCGGCAATATGCATCCAGTTGAGCAGTGAGATACACATCGTATTTCTGCGCCGTGGTGATACATATAATGGCAAAGAAAGCCAGTGAAGTCGATTGTAGTTTTATCATTCTTACTTAATTTTCACTTCCTGGCAACAAATCGTACTTATACCTAGTAACGGCATAGAAAGTTGAATGCGTTGCTCTTACAAATCAGCATATTAGAAAATCACTAATACAGAAAAGGGTTCTTCTCATATTACGCACAGGATTCTTATCAAAACGCTGCAATAACAGAGCTGCGCAAAATTATTGTGAAAACAAAAGCCCTATATATCTGGTTGTTCCTATAATTTTATAAAATCTTGAACTTCTATCTTGCTATGATATTGCTATTTGAGGCCAACAATTGTTTGCGATTTTTTGGAAATGTATTTATTCAATCGTCAAATATATAAAATCAATTCATATTTTGAAAAAACATAAAGAAAATTCACAAAATACACAAATATCATTCTTCTCAGTTATTTTCTACTGTGCTTCCCAACACTGAGCAAAATGTGTTCTCGTTTTAATTTATACCCTGTTGCTCAATGTACATAGCTGACAACAAAATTCCATAACGCGCATTGTCCGAAAATGGTTTCACAACAATATTTTTCGCTGAAGTTGAAGTTATCGGAAATAAGCCAGTCTTGCTGACGATTACTATCCCGTGAACTATGTAGGCTACGTTACTGATACTTTCGCAGAATCTCAAACAAATTAAATTCTGAGAGATGCTAATCTCGGTCTGGATAAAATATTTTCAACAACAACAAGGCTTTATTTATACGATAAAACACTCGAGAATTTCCATAGAATATTTTCTCGAACTATTCGCCATCAGTATCAAAATGATTACAAAAGTATTTGGTAAACAATGTCTGGATAATATAATATTATACTATAACCTCGTTATAATTCTGCGAATTATATAGTACATTTATCCTTATCGTGTGTGGTGTTTAGGAGTTTATCAGAAATATGTTTTTGCTCAATCGTTATAAAATTAATTTTTTCGGTCAGAATATTATCCAACAGATGTAAATATTATAACTGTACATTTCCATCGTTATGACGGTGAGAATATGGCGCCTCATGAAATTCAGAGCAACAAAGCTACTAATAGTGTGTAGATTGATATACATCACTACATATTAATAACCACTTTCACTTGTTGAAAATATTTTTCATCTAGGATTAACATATTCCAGAACTTGTTTTGATATTTTGTAGAAGTATGTACACCGTACATAATTGACTGCATTCTAATCATCGGCAAGGCTGGCTTACCGTCGGAATCTCCGGCCTCAGCAAAATCCCAAAACGAGCGCTGAAAAATATAGTCAAACCATTTTTGAAGAATACGCAGTGTGAAATTTTGTTGTCGGTTACGCACTACTAACGAAATATAAATTGTAATCCAAAGATCAAGTGCTCATTGTTAGGAAGCACAGTAGAGATTGACTGAGAAGAAGAATATTCGTGTGTACCGTAAATTAAACAAGTTTTTCAAAACTGAAAATTGATTTTTATCTAATTACTTTGGTATGTCTTTGTATTTTATGAACGCATTGGATTTGTAAAAAAAGTTTTGTAAGCATCCGCCGCTATAATCAGTTCAGATAAGTTGTCAGAGGGGCAAACGATATATTATGATTGAATAAACATACAAAAGCTTGGTATACTATATAGTATATATAATATACCAGTATTTCCCAAACTTTTTGGGCCGCGGACCCTTATTTGTAAATCTTAGTTTTGACGCACCCCAAAACTATGCCGTATCAATTTCTGTGCCTAACCAACGAGTTAAGATAATGTTTCATTTACAATACATACGACATTAATGTGATCAATAAGGTTGCTTTTCACTGCGCAATTAATCGATTCTCGGAGCAATTTGTGACAAGCAAACTCATAGATCGGATTCTTCGGCAAGTCTCGACCCGTATTTTATCAACATATTGATAAGAGGTGAAAAAGCTGCCTCGCGCATGTAGGTCGTTACAAAAGGCAATACAATTTTAATTGACTTTTCTGAAAGCAAGGATATTCATCCGCAACGCTCAACCAAAAATATGCTATTGCTCTTTGATTAAAATCAATCATTAAATATCGATCAGACTTTTTTCATGTCGTTACGGACCCACTGTGCAGTTGTCACGTACCCCAAGGGTTCCGCGGACACCAGTTTGGGGAACCCTGGTATATACTATATAATATACGAATCAGGATGCATTTGTTAAAAGTTAAAACATTACTTTTCTGTTTATCACCAATCTTGAATCATTTATCTCACACAGTTTTTGGCTTAAAATAGGTATATTATATCAAGATATCTATGGAGAGATTATTCAGGAACGTTAACTTTTATGTTCGACATTTCAAAAGTTTATTTACATTGGAACAACCAAATATATCGTGCAATTGTTATACAATAACCTTGCGCGTCGCGGTTATTGCTATTTGAAGCGTTTTCAATCTACGTTTTCGATGATCCTGCATGTAATATGAGAAGGAACCTTTTCTGTCTTATTAGTTCTCTAATAAGCTGATTTTGTAAAAGTAACGCATCCAACATTCTGTGTTGTTACTAAGTGCCGTTTTGTTGACAGAAAAGTGAAAAAATTGGGCAAGAAGGATAAAACTGCAATTGACTTCACTAACTTTCTTTGCCATCATATGTATTACCGCGGCTCAGACGCGTATCGTACTACATAATACTTTTATGTAAGCATTTTATATCTCACTTTTCATGCTTCTTTCATTTTCATTCTTTCTCATTTCATTTTATTAAAATCTCCGATTTTTTTCGTCAGCTCGATGTGTTATTTAGGTTCATAAACACCTTTACACAGTGTTTATACTCCCTAATTTCTTTCGAAATATGTATGCCCTGTGCCCCTGTGCCACGAAGACAATGATGATTAGGCTACTTATCATTGTTCTTGCACAGACACTGTGAAAACGTGAGAAAAACGATTTATTATATAACAATCATCAGCGACCAGATGCTAACGATAAATAAAGGAGAATGAATCCATGAATCTCCAACCAAAATTTTCTGAATGGAAAAGCAGCATTATAAAATACTAAAAATAAAACGGAAAACACTTTAAGTTTCGTTTTTGAAGGCCGCGGGCGCGACAGATTGAAAACGAGTTTTAAGACATTGTAAATCGCGACACAAAATGATTGGCTGGCGTTGGAAACCATACCGCCACTGAAAAACGTCCGATCGGCGGGAAGTATCTTTTGAACCATTCTACAACCACCGAATTGGTCAGATGCGACTTCTTCCTGGATAAAGATGAAAAATAAGATAATTAATGCAAGGTATGTTCAATCAAAGTTTTTATCATGTTAAAATAAATTTTACTCCTGGGGATTTTATCGCATATTTTTCTAATGGTGAAATCTTGAAATCAAAAAATGAGAATCAAAACAAGAAATAATTGGGCACTCTACCACACATGGCCGTGATATTTTAGAAAAGTAATGTTCCTTTTTTTTCGACGTAACCGCTAATTGATTTTAACATAATTCAATTAATAAAGCGAGACATTTTAAATATGGCCCTATCGGTCATGGATTGAATACATGCGGCGCGGCGGTGTGGCTCAACGGGCTAAGCGTTAGGAATACGCTCGCCACCGCACCTCTAATTACTCTGCGTGGGTTCGCAGGTTCGAATCCCATGCAGGGATGGTTATGTGCGAGAGGATTGCTGGACTCCTCGCCGTCGTTGGGTGGTTCACGTAACCGCTGGTCGGTTACGGCTTCCTCCACCACCAAGTCCATGCTTCCGAAAACAAACAATACAGTGAAACTAATCCCATACCCGACTTGGAATGGTAACCGGACGAGAGGCCGTGGTTCGCCATATGGATAAGCCGTCTTATCGGCTTTCCTCTCCCCCGGGATAAATATATAAATCCTATCCTATCCTATCCATTATGAGCCGAAAAATTCTTCTGACTCGTTTAACGAGTGGCATAATCGCGATAACTGTTTCAGGAGACATTCCGGGGGGATTTCGAAGCGATAAATACGTATTTGCGATATACTACTATATATACTGCACGTCATGCGTATTTTTATTGTACTAAATTTTACTCTCCGTTTTTTTAGTAAATCTCTAACAGCGATAACGAATTCGCAAGATCGTAAAAATAGGTATCAAAACTAAACATAATCGGGCAGTTTATTTCACTTTTTTGTCCACAGATTAATAGTAATGCTTTTATTTTGTCGTAAGTCGAGGCAACAGCGAGTTACGTTGAACACAATGGAATTAATATAGAAATAAAATTAAATTCTCTCAATTGTCATGAATTGAATATTTTTTTACACAACACAGCCGGTCGGTTTGGTGCCATTTTACATTGGTTATTTTTTTGTCAACCATCAAGCCCTAAAGATTCAATCATGCTTTTTTAAAGCGTGTGCTAGAGTTCTATTCAGCAATATATGAAAAACGCACTCCTTTAAAAAATTTTTTTTTTATATATAAGCCAAAATTCCAAAATTCCATTGAACTTGCGATATTTTGTGTCTAGTAGAGGGTTAATAATTATTCGTAATTAATTAATTTTATTCCAACGTTTTCTTGTGTTATTTTCCAACAGAACAACACCAAAACCACTATTATAGCAAGAATGGTTACTCTAAAATTCACGATTTTATTTACCGAATTTATAAGTTCAAGGCTTCAATTGACAATTTTGATGACGTCACACCTCTAATTATTACTGCACACGCCCCCCTCAATGCAAAAAATGTTACTTTTTCCGACGGAAATGCGCGTAGAAAGACGTAAACATTCTAATGCGCGCCGTTACGCGTGAAAATTACCATTAATTTTACGTTTTTTTCACGTTTCAAAATCTGGAATCTGGAATGGCTAACTAATCCATGCGCGACATAGACTGGTAACCCGGAATAGAGTCCGACCGGCTTCGCCATGTGATTAGACCGTTTTATCGCAATCAGATTTTCGTTTGGATGGCGATGCATCACTATTGTATAAAGAAATATTTATTGAACGAAATTCCTATGGGTTTCATAGCGTTTTGTGTAAAATATGATAGACTTCGCGACACGTCTTTTTTTTCTTTGAAGGACAAGTCAACATTTACTAAAATGACTACCAATCAAAGACTGAACATCAATATACGGACTCAATAAAATTTATTTTTAAGCAGAATAACAAAAACAATATGCTGAATATTTGGATGAGTAGATTTTATCACTATTACTTGAATTTAAATCAATAGTTCAAAAACGAAATCGCCATATGTATTTCATACAACCGAAATTCAACAACCGGAATCTTTTAAAAAGTTCCAGATCAATGTTGACATCGAATCTTATTTTACATTATCTGCATGTAAACTTATCAATGTTTTTGCCAAAAAGTAATTATTCAGAGACTGTTTCAATCTTGCACCAGATGATGTTATTAAATAATATGCACGAAAATTATTAATAAAAACAATACTAACCAATCCAAAGAAATAAAAAAATAGTTGTGTCTTTCTGGGATAGTGGAATGTGGCATTATACTTTTATTTTTATGTGGATATTCCCATATAATAGAGTTAGACTATTAGGCTAAGACGCTAAAGCTGCTCTCGCTTCAAACCTTTTACAGTTGCAGTGATATGGAATAGGGAGCTAATCATATTAGTAGTAGGACAGCTTAATTATAAATATTGTCAGTGAGGTATAAAGATAAGATGCCTAGACAAAGATAAGTTCATGCATTAGTCTGTCACCTATGAAGATTCATTTTTACCAATATGGAAATAGGATTTAGCTATCAGAGACCTATTATTCAAGTTGAGTGGAATATTATAAGGTGGAAATTGTCATAACTTCAGTTCAGGTCTGTTAAAACATGGAATGTGCCACACCACTACTACACTGTCTTAATGTTACGTTTCTAATTCATAAGTTGTGTTTAATTTTTCTGATAGGTTTATAGCTTCATTTTGACATGAATCATACCAACATCTATAATTCAGAAATGGAACTGTACCTGAAATAGTGTCTTAAAAATGTAATAAAATATGAAAAATGAGAAAAAAAATTAATAATTCTAAGATAAAATATGCAAGCAATCATGACAAACTAAAATTAATTTTCTAATTTTCAAACAAAATGTGCCACATCGTGACTTCAAAACACAAGATTAAGTGTCTACATTGTTAACATAATAGTGCATGTTGTTAATGTCGCATAAAATTCACAAAAATATAAGAAAATAAAAACATTGAGTTGCTTTCGGGATATGTTGGGGATGTCAAACGTTATGTATCTACCGGTAAATATGTTTCAAAAATTTCAATAGAATCCACATTCAAATAAATTTATATGCATATATGCATGCAAATAAATAAATGCATTATCATATTTATGCCAGACTCAAAGAAAAATTCATAGGGCTAAGACTTGCGGCAACTCCTGTCCAGTTGCCTGTCCGTGTCAAACACAATGCTTAGACTCAGAAATAACAAACACATGGGCAGACAAATAAACGGCCTCTTCCATGTGTCATATTTTAAAATTCGAAAAAAACTAGGTGTAAGACGAACTATTATTTCGTTCAAATAAAACCTTTTGACATCCCGGGGTTCGGGATGATGTACTGAATGGCATCGCTGCCCTGCCACTGTGTCATGTCAATGCTATCCGTGTCTGTTTGATATTACAACATGGTTGAAACTTTATTATACACACGTGTACCTATGATGACATGATTTAAAGTGCTGTGTCACCGGTCTTGGCATGTGGCTAACCCGGGTCTGTTCAACACATCTTCTCGTAATTGTAAAAGATTTCCATCAATACGGAATCTACGGATGCATCCTTCAAATCCCATATAAAAAGACTTGGTCAGTCCTCGATGCCTAGGTGGCATGTATTCAGCTTCACAACCACCTGCAAGTTGGAATAGAAATTAAATTCAAGGTAAGAATGACAAGGTATCAAGAATCGATTTTTGCTATCATATTTTATTTAGTATATTCCGATCAAATCCCTGCAGATCAAATTAAACTAAACAGCTAAATTAAATTGATCATTTCCGACTAAGAGGTTAAATAAAATTGCAAATAGTGAATATTCATCTTTCTTGCTATGCAACATATTTCGGTTTAGTTAAATGTTACATTAAGAAAAATACCTAATATTTTGTGATAGCAAACAGACCAAAACCGCATTCTAGAACAGAAGATCCGCATACAAAACTTTAAAATTATTTGGGTCCGGCCGTCCGAGGTTTCCAGAAATTATATTTCGGCATCCTTAAATGCGCACTTCCTCGACCGGCTAATGAGTATCAGCTAATCGAGATTGTTTATTATGGTAATATAGTTCTTTTCGGATATATTCAAAACAAGAAAAGTCATTTTATAAAATGAAACTTCAAAAGTTTGGTTAATGATCAAAATAAAGAATTAGGTGCAGTCCGAATCAAATACTCCAAAGGTCCGGATTCGGACTGCTGTCCACCAGTTGAGTAACCCTGTTCTAGAATATAAGAACTCTTTGTGTAATAACTATAAAAGAATGTCAGAAAATGTGCTAAAACTCCAGTGCACTCACCAAGCCATAACATTCCTTCAGTATTTAGCCATTTTGTGAGTTGTGGAGCAGATGCTAATTTAGGAGTTCCTTCTTCTATTTGTAGAGATGCTCGATGTTCATTTCTGCAAAATAATGAAAATGTGTTTGATAATTTACAAATATAGCAAAACCAACACATCAAAAAATGGAATGATGTCTTTTTCCTCTCATAAATGTAATTTTGTATAGTCCGCAAGTTTTTGAGAATAAGGAACCCAAAACTTCTATCTATTTTACTCATTTTTGTATTTATTCTAGCAGAAATCATCATTAGAACATTGAGAACTTCGACAATAGCTGGGCAAGTAAAATATGAAATTCTTTGTCCTTCTATTTTCATGCAAAGTTGCAAGCTTTCAACTGAAGTGAGTAGATTACTGATACAAAAGTCGTAGACAAGTCGTAAAATATGAAATTCTTAGTCCTTCTATTTTTATGCAAAGTTGCAAGCTGTCAACTGAAGTGAGTAGATTACTGATACAAAAGTCGTAGACAACCAATGATGTAAAACAAGATATATCTAAATTTATTCTTGTGCACAGACAACAGTAGGTAACGATCATTGGGTAAGACACAAACACAAGTATCCTAATTCCTAAGCTTACCTGACAATTTTAACAGTTTTCCATAGCCCATCATTTACCATTAAATCAGATACAATATTGGCTGGACCGGATCCAAGATCAAAAGTTAAATGCAGTCTGCCATAACTAACTGACAAAGCTATGTAATCGCCACGTTTTGTTGCTTTGCCATCATAAAATATTAAACCATGGTGAGCTGTGGTTTTCAACTGAAGTTCGAAGTGGTTGCTTTTTAATGAGTTGACCCTGTTACAAAATAAAACAATGTGAGAAATTACATGTCGAAGTGGGTATCCTGCAATTTGAAGTGAGGTACCCAAAACATTATGTAATTTATACAATAATTACTTTTAAAACTATTTCGCATGACAAAAATCTTAACAACAAGGTACTTCGGAAAATGAAATAGCTTTACCCATATATAGTAGTACCAGTATATCAATCACATAAATTAGAATGAACAACACAATATATTCTTACTTCTTCATGATCTTTTCAGATTCTCCACTTTTGAAAGCAAAACAAATTGAACAATATAAATACACCAACTTTTAATAATGAGGATAGTAATTAGCATACAAAAATTATCCATAAATTATTAAAGAAAACTTCATAGTTTATAAACTGACCATAACTGAAGCAACTGCATCTTATCACCTGAGTACAATGAAAAAAATAAACGGCAGTAAATAATCAAATGAATTACCTCCTAGTGATGAAGTTATTATATTGTGCCTTGACCCTTCCATCAAAAAATACTGCATGCGGTGTCGAGTCTTGAAGCATTGGAATTTCTTCAGGCTTTTCAACTGGGAATTAAAAAAATGTTCAAATTTATGTACTGATAAATGTAAATAACAGAAAATGCACAACCATTCTAATTACAGAACTCTAAGACATATTTTTGATGAACCTCAAGTAAAATGTTAAAATGCCAAATGAATATCAAACAATTCATCAAACCTTTTTGACAAAGTTGCCCTGAATATCCAGTTTTGCATGTGCAGGTAAAATTTCCAAGGACTGGTACACAGACTCCATTATTGTTACAAGGTTGTCTGTAGCAGGCATGACCATTGAAAGCTTGAATGTGATACGATTCTGAATTTTCTCCAGCAAGGGATCGCGGAAGTTCAACATCATTCACAACAAACTATAATATATGATAAAATTTGCTCAAATAAATGTCACACACTGTAAAATAAAGGAGATTGATCTCTGATCGAAATTATAGGTGACCCCTGAAGTATTGAGAGCTACTGACACTCTAGCGAATTATAGTGTAGAAATCAGTGTTAGTGAACACTGATTCATATCAATATGACCAGGAAAACAACTACCGGTGTGATGTAGTGAATTCCACAGAACTGAAGTTCTTGGGAAATGAAAATTTTGAGCATGAAATTTTGTCAGGTTGGCACACTAACAGTAAATGGATGAGAGCTCATAGCTAACCTTAGATGGATTTCATAATGATGTAAAAGTTATTAGATTCTAAATTAACAGTTCAATTTGAATAAACAAAGAGAAGTCATTAAATGAATATTGGATACTAAATTTGATTTTACAAATACCATGATACCCCGGTAGTCGAACATAATTTGTTCAGGATTAGTGTTCGACTGCCGACTTGTTGGAGAATCAAAACTTTTTTGCACCATAAAAATCGATGGTAATATTTTTAGTTTGTTCTTACGCATTTCAAAATACCGAAAATATTAACAAAACGTGTAACTAAACAATAATAAGTATGTAAATGTGTGCATAATAAAGATTAAAACTAATAAAGATAAACATTAAAAATTTGATATCAGTAACTGTTTGAGCAAATTTCTGTGGGATCAATGGGATTGATTTTTGTGCACAATGACGTCATCAACCAGATATTTTTGGTCGACTATCGAATTGTTCGGATATCAAGTCGTTCAACTACCAAGGTATCAATCAGTCTACACATTTTTAGATAATCATGTTTATTTATAAAATCTTTATTTCCTTATCTATGAAACAAAATTTATTTTTAATTCTCGAATTACTTTTGTTTGATGTAAATTAATGGTGACTGTTTTACCACATATTGGTACAGGTTATTATCAATATAGTTTAACTGAACAACAAGACACATTATCTACCTTTTGAATGGCTCCCATAAGTCCAGTCGTTATGTGAGTTCTTGGAGGAACAGTCACAGATTCAGGAACTGAGCCAATGTATAATGGTCTTCCCAGGTTAAGTTGGGAATGGCGGTGCTGTGAAAAGTTTTAAATAAACATCAAAACTAACAGAAAGTCATGAATTCATGTATATATCGAAGTTATTTATGGTGAATAATTAGATTTCACTCAGTTGAAAATACGTGTGCAAAAGATAAATGAAAATATTAATTAAATTGAATAGTTATGGTACTATTGGACAACACGAAATTGACTCTTATATCACATACAGTAATCAGATTGTAGTAAATCAAACCACTATTCAACAAACCTTTGCCTTTGATCTCTTCAGCAAGCATGAAAAGTAAATGTATAAAATGTTTAAACAAAAGAAGTGTCCAAAAGAGGCTTATTTTATATTTAATATTAGCATTGTACCGGTGATACTCCTTTAACGATGGGTCCATCATCCAATTTAAGATCACCAATCTTCATAATGCGAGACAATTTTGCAACATGCCATTCATTTAGTGAAACCTTGACAGTGCTCCTGAATATATAAAAAAATGTTTGATGAACAAAATGGTCAAAAGATTTTACGAACGATGAAACAACCACGTTTTGATAATCATAACAAGAATTTAATTAAATATTAGTATTACCAAGGCAGGGTAGTGCATAATGTACTTACTTTATGATTGCCGGTCCTTCACCCAAATCATACATAAATTCAAGATATCCCTCTCTTAAATTTAATGCAACAAAGTCTCCTTTGCCCGAATCTGATTGTGCATTATAAAAGAGCAGTCCTGTCGAAAAAAAAAAACAACAATCTAAAATTTTATATCAGCACAATTATTGAATAATTCAAAGAGGAAAATTGATGTTTCATTAGAGTTTATTATAAATTAGAAAAGCTTTACTCAAATAGTGTTTCAACGTCATTTATCTTTGTTAGTCAAGACTTGAAGACTTGACTTGTAATTCCTATTTAAAGATATGGTATCAAAACACTTGTATCTCATAAAAATAGAGAATGTGTCCCTTATAGCATAGTCTCAAATACTATACATTAAAATGATGTGGATAATAGCATGTCTAATGTCTATAATAAAGAGAGTGTGGTATCTAATATTAAAATTTCATAAAGTATGCCAGAGTCAAATTCACGAGTCTACTTTCGAAGTAATGGAGGCAAATATATATGCTGATTTAAAATAACCAATCTGGACACTAAGGCCAAAATCATACCTTCTAACTGGAATGTATAGAATACAATCTCAATATCAAGTTTTGTACCGACACCAACTAATGATGGTCGTTGGATATACGAGTCACCAGCAAACATTGGCATATAAGATGGCTCCATTGTAGATGGTAATGGCAAATCTGCAACCACTGAAAACAACAAAAACATGGTGATATTGTAATAGCTCTTTAGATAGAGGAAACAAATCGATTACAATGTTGGACCAGATTTGATTTATGGTGTAAGGGCTTAGAAACCTTGAGTTATACTTGGAATATGTGCAGTGGTACCACCTGCAACATATCATTAATATGCTTTTATAACTTTAGCAACACTATATTATTCTATTCTTTTCTAGGCTTATTCTTTTATCATTAGAATACATTTTTTTGCATAGTTAACCGTTTAAAAACTTGTTATACTATTAAATTAACTTACCGTAGCTTATTTTCATATAAAAGTTTGCTAAAAAAAGACTTGAAACACTTACATCGAGTACACTGTGTTCCAGTTCTTGATTCAGGGCAAATACATCTATATGAATTATCATCTTCTACACAAGTTGAACTTTCGTGACATGGATTTGAAGCACAAGTATCAGTTGTTGTGCGATGTTGACATTTGTCACCTTCGATTGAAAACAATTTATTCAGTTAGGTCAGCTAATTTAGGTTACTAAAGTTGCAGATATTGCCCAAATGCACTTGGTTTTAGTAAACCATCTAACTAAGCATTTATTTCAGTCAATTCCGTGTTCCACATTTATCCTATACCTAATGATTGAACATTGACAAACTAAGAATATTCACAAATGGGTTTGTGTGGCTTCGGTCAAATGCTAAATGTCTGTAGTACTATGCTGATTGGAGCACAGCAAATCCAATTTTATGTCTTGTTCAAATGCTGTACACTTCTGCTTTTGCTTCTATGAGTATTAAAGAAATGTGCAACTCTGTTATTACTATGGCATGATTTAATAAGCGATTTTGTCATAATTGTGGAATTGATTTTGATAGATTATTTGGAAGAGTCAAATGCAATGTCCTGAAAACTTTTACTCAAATTAGTTTCGCATTGAAGTATTGCAGGTTATATTAGTGCAGTAATAAATAGTGTTATTAAAATTGATCATGTAGACTTGGACATACCATAATATCTTGATCCACAATCACATTTATAAGTGAATTCTTCAAGCTGATATGTGATAAAACATTTTGAGGTATGTCGGCATGGATTCGGCAAGCATGGTGATTGGGAGCATTCTGCCACCCTAAATGAAAAGCAAATATCTCATTGAAAAAAACTCAGTTGGAATGTAAAAAGTAGATTATAGTCAAATAACAAACCTGAATGTATTTATTGCATCAGTATTTTGTGATGATAGTGATAATGCCTTTTTACCATGTTCACCAACTTTAATATTAGAAATACAACCAGTCAATCCTTTGGTTACCCCAGTTTGCTTGAAAATACTGTAAAAAATATATGTGGAAACATTAGAATAAAATAAGCAGGAAGATCAGTATTAAAGTCATCTAGTCCCTGTAAAGTTCTATTTAAATCGTTTGATAACATGTCAAAGTTTTTTTTGGTTTATGAGATGTTACATGTATAATTTCCAACTATTAAGTTAGTTCCTCGAAACGCCCAAAATATAATGGGACAACCAACATATTCTTGCAGTTATAACATATGCCTGTTAAACAAATTGATATGCGGATCTTAGCTTCTCAGTATAATGTGAATATTATACCATATCATGGTGTGAGTATTAAAAGAAGTTCTTCAATGTTTATAACCTCGCAACAACAAAAATTGAATTCAGATTTGGGTAATCATGCTAAATATAAAATAAAGAAGTCAATAGAAAACTATTTACCTGTCTTGTAGTTCTATGACAGTTCCACCAATAAATAGGCTTGTATCTAAGTTAACACCAGTTGTTGTTGATGGTGAGGTTCCGGCAACTTCTGGTTCATTGTCGACCTGGATTTATGAATTAATTACTGTGAGAAAATTTTACTGCATATACTCCCTCGTACCAGAGCAGGAGTCTAACCAGCTTAATTGGTGGGAGTGAATGAAAAACCATAAATTTCTCATGACATAGTGGGAGAAAAATATCTTCAAGAAAAATATCTACAATTCCCACAGTATAAATGCATGAGAGTTAAGGAAAAATAATTTTTCCACGAGCATGATTGTTTAATAAATTTTTGAGCACATACAACAAAATTAATGAGATCTCAATTCTAATTCATTCATCATGCAAGATTTTTACACATCTTGTTATGTCACACAAAAATCACAAATAAAATGTTTTACCATCAACATTCCTTCTCTTCTATTTCTTCTTGAAACTACTTCATGCCATTGTCCATCATTAACTTGTATGTTACTTCTCAATGATAATGGGCCAGAACCAGTATCAAATCTAAAAATGTATATGAAAGAAATTAGAAAAATACGGTAAATGAAAAACAAATTAGAACAAATCTTACTCTCATTCAGTTGCTTTCAGGTGGTTACAGCCCAAACTTTCAGCAAGGTGTATTTGATAATGAAGAGATCATGATCTTGATTCTAAGTAACTGTTGACAACCTAACTCAAAAAGCATTTTGAACAAGTTCTTATGGTGGCTATTACATCATGATCATATTTGAGTAATGTCAAAATCAGTCTGAATGCATAAATATGTGTTTAAATTCAAAATATAGAAATAAAGATGGAATTTTACCATCCAAACCAATAGTCATTCTTAAAAAGAGGTCATCAAGCACTCTGAGAAGGACAATTATCAAATTTATATATTAACTGCACCTAAATTCCACATAGCCTCCAATAATAGCAAGTGAGATGAAATCTCTTCCTGTATTTTGTCCATTATACAAAAGCAATCCTTCTGAATCAACAGATTTGAACGTCATATGAATTGTTGCAGCACTGTATGCAGACATCTTTTTGAATTCCATGTAAGATGACCCACCAAATTGTGGGACTGACCATTCATCATCTAGTAAAAAATCGATTTTATAAGCTGAATAGTTTATTTAAAAAGACTAATGAAAGATGATCAGATATATATTATTATCTTATATTATTGCCAGTTGCATGAACAAACATAAAATTTAACTTGCTATAATTAAAAATGTTTATCTTTATTTTTTTTCTGTTATAATTAATGTTAGACTTAATCACAGGTTTCCCTGCTTGATAACGTATCTTCTTTAAGACAATGTGTATTTTCAATACACTACCTATTTACTAATTATCTTGACCTCATGAATATAAAGAACCTTATTCAGGTTACTCCATACCGACTACCACAATTGCATTTTGACAGCCAGTAAACAAGGTATTCCATTTGTTTACGAAAAGTGTAAAATATAAACCATCTTACCTTCCATATAGATTAAGTTGGTTAAAGGTGGTACAACTGGTCGAACGGCTGGAAATACACGAATAAACAAAATTAAAAGCCAAATAGATATGCATGAATAGTAAAAGCAAAGTAAATCAAAAATTTCAGTGCTCTGTGAATGAAAATAAATAAGAATGTGCAACGCATGTGAAAAGCTCAGAGTTGTCCTCATAAATCGTAACTATTAAGGTAAAAGAAAGGAAATTTATTTTAAATCACCAAAATCGTATGTCATTTATTCGACTTACGAGGACAAATCTAAAATATAACATTATTGCTGAATAAAATCAAAATAAAAAGAAGTGCAAGAGCTTCAACAAACACAAAGAAAACAATATTTGACACAAACAAAGAAAAAAGCAGAAAGAAGGAAATTCAGTGAAGCATTAGTCTATAAAAGTAAAGTAATTCATTTGAACATACATCAGCTTTCCAATATTAGTGATCAGAACACAAACCAAGATAAACAAAAATGCTGCATATTTGAAACAAGTAAAATGTGCTGAAACAAACAAAAGATATTGGAACGACGAAGAAAAAAATTACCCAGAATGCCAAGCAAAATTTTTCATTCTGATTATATATTGTACTATACTGGTTTTACTTACACACAGATTTTTTGACAGGATTGGTCAGAATTTCAGTCTTAAGGACGTCTGCACTTTCATCGTTGTAGAACTCGCGTGGTTGGTAACCTGCACAAGCAGTCAAATCCCACTGTTTTTTTACCATATTAATAGCAGCGATTTGCGTTAGTTGTGCATTATAGTGCAGCAATAAGCATTTTTTCAACAAAGTTTTGATTTTCGGTAATTTATCGTGCTTTGGTGATAAATTAAATTTTTCCAGCACGATAATGATTTACAATACAGTTAGTAAGTATTAAGTACTATTTTAGACCATATCATACATTGCGCATGTTAAATTTGGCTTCTAATATGTCGCACAAAACAAGATTAACCATTACCTATTTGAACATGCATTATTATCACCTAAAATTTTTGATGACATTGTGAAAGGATCATAAAAAGAAATGTGACCAGTTTATCACATTATTGAAGGAATGTGATAAATGATGGAAACTGAAATTTGAGTCACCCCAAAAGCATGAAAGCGTTATCTTGCGAAGTATCAGCAAGCAGCATTGTCCTTCTATATGAGTGTCAAAATGAACTACAAGCATAATTTTGTGATGGCACTATCTATTTATATTTTTTAATACACTTATATTTGAGTTTGTACATTTTCAAATACAGTATTTTTAAAACATAGACAGAGCACATGCTGCTTTTAATTAGAAGTAGAACGCATAAAGAGCAAGCAGCAAAAAGAAAGGGACAAGAAGAAAAGAAGGAAGGTTAGGATTTGATTCAGCAATAATTTCAGGTAAATTGAAGCAATCATGTTTAATTACAAATTTTTCATGTGCTCCTCATTAATAATATTCATCATTTATTTGATGAGCATCATTCTTCATATTTGATAAAATTGAATATTGTGTTTTATGCAAAATTAAAGGGCAATATGATTGCTTCAAATATCCACCATGCAATGTTGCCACATTTCATAAAGATTACATCAACACAGAACATTTCTACGTCACACATAACGAAGCAATTTTTTCTAATGTTTATCACATATTGTAACATTGTTTCATAATGACAAATGCAAAAATCATTCAAAATAATTGGTTTAATTTTCATACTACACATGGGAATTAAGATAAAACAATGATATTGATAAATTACAATAAAATTAAGGCACAATAAAATTAATTTTTGAATAATGCAATAATTAATAAAGTGTAATTTGAAAACAATCTATTTAAACATTGGCACAAATTAATAAAGAATTAATTACACTTCAGTTAAGTGCCAGGAAACATAAAATCTTCTTGAGCAATGTAAAAGATGAAGCTGAACTGGAATTATTTTAATAGAAGAACTATTATATTATAAACCATTGATAAAAATAGATTTAAAATATATTTGAGCACATATTTATATGTTTTCATATATGATTAAAGTATAAAATACGAATATATATAGAAATATATTTCGCTTTTCTTGCTACTTCAGCTTGTGTCGTTTTTAATAAATAGAATTCTGACTCAAAAAAATGTAATCATCATCGAGGATTATTACCGAAGTACTCAAAAATAGATAACACATACACATGGTTGTACAAATGACACCATCAGGAGAAAAAATATTGAATGCTATACCATATCATGGTGTGTTTATGCTACAAATGAATTTGAAAATAACTCATTTGGTTAAAAAACCATTCATGAGAAATATATACAATCAAATAAAATACAAAATTCATTCTTAATCTGTTTTATTATTGTCTTTGTGGAAGTCTCTTTCCTTACCAAAGCTAAAATTAATTGTGTTTGATGATAATGAAAAATTTGCATGAATATGTCTTTTATTGTATACCTGAATCAATGAACATAAAACTTTCACCGTCATCCAGATTTGCATTTATAAAATTTTGCAGTTCTTTCAGGTCAGATTTGTCAGAAACATCAATTTGGAATGTGACAACGATACCTTCAGTATTTATTTGTTTTATGGCAGCATTTGTCAAAGATGTGAGTGCTATTGGACTGCTTCCTGGCAATCCCGCAATAACAAGACCAAGCTGTAACAAGTAGGAAATTGATTAAGTGTCAAAAATAAATCTAGAAAATGGTTTTAAGTGGATTACGCATTAGCTCAAGTCGATACTAAAGATAACAAGATTAGAATAACACACCACCTCATATGAACCAAAAAAAGTCAATCAAGTTGAAATATATAGTAATAGAAAAAAGTAGAAAGGCAATCATCACATAGTTTATATATTTTATTATAATAGCCTGGAATAGAAGAGACCCCAAATCACGAGTGAACACTAAAAATGTTATCATTTTTCTATTAAACTAAACATAATGTATGTGCTAGTTAGTAACTTACCCTAGTGAAGACTGATGTAATTGTTTCCCCATATTCTTCAGGATCTTTCAACAAATCATCCATGTTTATTGGTTCTGTATTGTTAGGAAATTTCAACTTCGTTTCTACTTGATATGATCGCATTGATTCTATAAAAATACCATAAAATAAAACTAACTGCATTTAATAAAACTTTTTACTAATATAATAAAAATATTCTTATGTAGGAAAGATAAATAAAGGAAACTGGTAAAAAATACATATTCACACTCATGCAGATATGGACAATATGCACCCCCAATATCAAACTAGCCAAATGACATTGTATTTGACATTTTACATTGTATAGTTAGTTACATGACATCTACGAAACAAATATTACATATAGACATAAATTTGAAACACTGATTTCCATTTGCTGCAATAAGGCTGCTTAAAAAAAAAGAAGAATATTTTTAAACTGTTGAATCTGTACCTATATAAAATTCTAAATCTGATCTTTTATAAATGTTTCGTACAGAAAGATTATCCTGTATTTTTCACAAGATATATCATATTTCTCTCACTGCCATGAGTCACGATTCAAAAATGTGTTTTATATAATCATTAAAAGGTAATTTGACAATATGTTCACAATGAGAAAATCACATCAAAAATGTCATCAGTAGAACTGTCACTTTATCAGTTTAACAAATCAAAAACAAAATTGTTCATACCTGGTGTCACCAGATTATGAGCGTCTGTATGACCAGTGGGGAAAATCTAAAATAATAATATTATTTCATTCAGACATGAAAATTCAATTGCATAAGCAACACGCAAATCAAAATTTTGAATGACTTGGTACAGAAAAACCAAATTAACAAGAACATAGATAGTTCAAGTAAAATACACGAACAACTAATTTCATAAATATTCAATATAGATATAAGACTAGAATAACTTCAAGATTTTTTGTAATATTCATGGTTAACAGAAATTATATTAAACTGACATCATCAGTTTCATCTCCGGAAGATTCATTTTCATTATCATCTTCATCATCAATTGTAGTATTACCATCAGTATTTTCACCACCATCACCACTGCCATCTGAAATAAAAAATTTACAATTGGTATTTTTAATCAAGTGATCAGGTGAAGAGAGAAACTTCTGTTAGTAATATTTGCGGCGATTGAAATATTATGAAATATGATTGCATCTTTTTATTTTTAAGAATAAAAATGGTGCCTATCAATCAAGTTTTATTTATGTTTATAAATACCAGTTAACAAGTCAGGATTTTAAGTCGAAATGAATATGTGTATTTGGATTTTTAATTGGGATAATTAGAAATTTCTACTTAGCTAACTGACATGTTTGCATATATGAAAAGTGCAGACAAAGTCAATTATTGTTACCTTAAAAGTTAGATGTTAGGATAGATTTCTGACAGCATTGCATAAAAAAGTGGTCTGTGAGTGGGGTATCAAAAGTTGTATAATGTGCTATATAGATAAATAAATCACATACCAATATCGAAGTCAGGATCTGGTGTTTTCACGGCCATTGTTGATGTCATTGTAGTAGTGATTGTTGTCGTTGAATCAGTTACTTTATTCATATCTGTGCTTATACCTGGGGTAGTCAAGCTAGTTGTAGTTGATTTTGAAGTGGTGGAAGCAGTAGTAGTAGACATAGTTGTACTAGCGGTGGATGTAGTAGTGGTAGTAGCAGGTTGAGCCGTTGTGGATGCGGGTGTAACAATAGGTGGAACCACAGGCCTTTTTGATTTGAAATATTCTAAACAAAATAGAATGATATTTTTTTGGCAAAATATTACATAAAGATTTATAACTTTTTACTTAACAACAAAAAATATGGAAGTCAAAATTAAATGATGGAACGTATTCATGATATTATAAATCATATTCTAGCATTCCAAAATACTTTGTCAGAATATATAAATATATTATTACTAAATTATTGATTTCTATAAAAGAATACATATTTTGCAATAAAATGTGTCGGAAACAGAGCAGTGCTATTTGAGAAATTGTATACAATTTATTTTCATACCGCTACATGTTCCATCAGAGATAACGGTAAGAACAATTGATTCTCTGCATGCTACTACTACCATTTGACATTCATCAGCATATGTTATTCCATTTGATGCACAAATCTAAAAAAAATATAAAAAAGGTTAGAAATTATAGTATACATAACCTGAAAAAAAATATAAATTTTATTTGACTATATGCGTAAACAATTTTCCAGGAATTCCAATGGATTTTAATTCAATGAATTATTTTTATAGTACATAATAAATTCACAATAAGTAGTGAAAAATTCATTTTAAACATTTTGATTTAATAACAGCATACTGCTGGATATTAGTCACAGGCTCACAGCATGTGATACTATGCTTCATATTAAATGAATTTTGGGTTTAAAGAAAATCACGAATTTTATCAAAATAAAACAAATCCTGCGAGAAGCCCATTTGAGGCTACGATTTAGCCACAAACTTTTTTCTGTGAAACACGTCTAAGATGATCACGGCCAAATCCAGCTTCGGCTTTCTTGGGCCATGTATAACAAAACATCTCAAATACATCACCATTTGGGTTTGACAATGAAGGGTACTCAATCGTTATAAGAGTCACAGCGTGGGTTCATTGTTCTGCTTCCATAGGAATTCGTAATTTGATTAAGAGATAAGTGCAGAATATTATGAAGATTGATATTAGTAAATGACGTTTGTTGGTTAGGTGAAAAAGGGAATTTTTAAATCGAGTGCTTTCACAAATTTTTCTTTTGATATGACACAGAGAATACTGATATATAATTTGGGTTCCTATGTTAAATATCTACTACGTTAATTGCTATTTTAGGTGCATATTTTAAATTTGCATAAAGTCAGTAGCAACCAATTTGTCAATGTTATCAAATCCAGTATACCATATGCATAGCAAAGAAAAATAATGAGGTAATTTCGTATGAATAAACAGTATAAATACTCATCCGAGCTCTACCACATGCTTAACTGAAACCCATTACCTTGTGTACTAATTCCAAATACAGTCATAAAGAAGATAATATTTTTATCATTTTAGTAAATTGTGGAAAACAAGTTGTTTTTTGTTTGAGAGATTATGTAAAAACTATAATTAAGTGTGATGTGTTTACATGTTCCAGGCTACATGTCTATTGTAACCTTGGGAATCACTATAGTAACAACATGCTACAACAAACACTCTACACAGATACATAAGGATGGAAAAGGAGTTAGTTTAAGTGTTTCATCTTCAGTTTAAAATTGGTGGCACTAGCAATATTATTATCAAGTAGACTAATCAAGACATGCATTTGTGTTTGACAACAGACAACAACTATATCACACAACACTTGCCTTTTTACGTTTAATACACTGCGAGAGAGGCAAGGAACAAGAAATAAAGAGTGATTAGTGTAATGCATCACTGTAAAAGGCTAAACAAAGTACCGTAATAATAGAAAGCAAGCAATAAGCACGAATATTAAACATTGGACATTTGAATCAATTGAGCTAGTATTTTGGAAGCTGGCAACATTAAGCAATAAACAAGATACGTGAAACAAGTAATAACCAAAAATGAAGAATTGATAATTACAAAAGTACTGTTAATAAAACAAGAATATGGATGATGGTATAAAATTGAAACACTGTCGAGCATATATTGTAGGATATATAACATTTCCACGATTTCAAAAAACTTTTGAACGTCACGCAAATAGTGATGTCAAATATATATCAAATGAGAATGCACATAAATAGTTAACTAACCTTGCCATTAGCATATGTATCACAGGAAGATAATGGGGGACATTGACACATGTATAATCCTGATTCAGCAGATCGAGCAACACATTCTTGGCCAAAACGGCAATTTAATTCTCCACAGGAACCAGCGGTTTCTCTTCCATGGGCTGAAATTTGCATAAAAGTTATAGAAGTAGTCACTACATACATGAATCATGAATAAAAAAGCTGAACATTTCCTTACTCTTAATTTTAAGAAGTTCAAAAAACAAAGATATTCTATTTTACCTCCTACACATCCTTCGTCGGTGACTAATTCCCCATTTTCACATTTTGAACATTTAACTCCTGTAATTCCTTCTTTGCAAACACATTGTCCTGTCATTTGATCACAATCGTCTCGAACTGAGCCTCCCTTTTCACATCTACAATCTAAAGATGATTGTGGACAAAAATGTGACATATGATTCATCTCAAGATTTGAAAAAGGCGAGGAAATGATCCCCAACACCATTTCTAAGAGGGGTTTATGAAACACTGCATGTAGCAACCATTACATAAAATTTCTGCTTAGTACTTGAATTTGCAACTTTTTCAAAAGAAAATATTTCATTAAATAGTTATTATGCAGAATTATCGCTTATGTTAGTATTTCACCTTAATCTTAGTGGATGAAGTAATCCCAATAAAATGGCTCCATTATATTGAAAAGGCCTAGCTTAAACTATATTTTATGGTATTCAATCTTTTATACAATTATCTTACCCATGCATCCAATGCTTCGCTTTTCCGCAATGGCACGGAAATTCCAGAATCCTGGTTGGCATTGATCACATTTCTGACCTCCAACTCCTGGTCTACATACACATTGCCCTGTTGTGTGATTACAGAGTGGAGAAAATGAACCATGTTCGTTGCACTTGCATGTTTCTGTTAGATAAAGAAAATAAATTATTTAAAAAACAGAGTGTAGTACCAGAACTAAAAAGTACTCCAACTCATTTGAACATATAAAATATCCATGTTTTTAGGAAGATTTATTTGGTACCATCTATAAAGTTGACTTTAAAATGTCAATGCAAATTTATAAAAATTTTCCTGATTTTATATGTGATTTTTTTATTTCGATCATGCTGAAGGATTCCAAATAATGATTGATGATTATTAATACGGATAAAACCATTTTATTTGTGGATAAAACAATATATTGAAATATTGACATTGGAATGAATGGGTTCGCTTGTAAAGTGAAATGATATAAAAATACAAATTAATATTACATGGCACCAAAAATTTCAGCGCCTCACACAGAACCACAATTAATCAAGCCATGTGCAAACTAGTAACCTATATTCAAATTGTAAATCACCCATAATTTATCAAAATAAGTTCTAACGCCTTCTAGTAACACCTGGGAATTTGATAACATAAAAACAAGGCTTAATGACCCCTACACTTAGCCAACCATAACGATCACTGAAAAAGAGCTTGTATAAACAAAACATGTGGGTTGCTGGGTTGCAATATAGCGACAAGGTCATATATATAACATAACGGTCGGTTTGAAGTTAAAAAGATTTTGTGGAATTGTGCCATTTCAAATATAATTTATTATGGAAACTCAAATATGCATCGATGATAGATTAAAGACAGCATAACAGAAGTAAATAAATTTTATTAGAAAAAAGTTATAGAAGCTGATAAAGCCACACCCACAGATGGAATTATGTTTAAACATATACCTGGACAACCAGCCTTTCTGCTTCCTTTCGCAGGAGTAATTCCATCATCACAACAACCAAATACAGATTTTGAGCATAAGTCTAACAAAACAAAAACAGAAATGAAGCATATTATTATTACTTTCAAACCATAGTATAGTTCTAATAATGAGAATGGTGTCGAATTGTAATTTTTTTAATGAAAATTTCAAAACCCTCCATAATTTTTTTGCCACGTCTTTCTACATATTTTTTGCAATACAATATTCACATACCCGCACATCTTCCTTGTGATGCAATTTTGATTAATTTTTGCATTTCACATTGTGTTTTGAGCAATTCACATTCATCAGTATAAGTTTTTCCATCGGATCCGCATACCCATGATCCGATTCTAAAGTTTGAAAGCAGTCCATTAAAACTAGATTCCTTTTGAAAAATATACATAAAAATCAAGAGGGAGAAAAATAATATTGCAAAACATCAATGTTCTTTTATTTGTACCTCGCATATATCATATCTTTAAACAAGTAGGTACTAAGAAATATAAAGTTATTGTGACATGAAAAATACAAATAACTGATCAATTATATTACCTGTCACATTTAATATCACAAACGCAACTTCTATCTTCATCATCAATAGTTTCATCACAGGTTGCTCCAAATTTACAATGACAGTCATCTTCCCCAGATCCCTCTTCTCCAGATCCTTCCTCCACTTCCTCAGTAGGAGGTTTTATACTTTCAGTACCATCTAAGAAATTTTTTTCATAACAAAATGTATAATATAACAAACAACTGACATGAAAAATAAATAAAACAACATCTATCATATCCAAGATTTATATGTAAAAACGATTGTGTGGTTTTATTCTATTTATATTACCGGTACCCCACAAAAAGTACTCACTGCAAGGCATCATCTTCAGAACAGATATGTCCATCTTCTTATTGCAAGCAGCAATTGAAAGTCGACATTCATTTTCATATGTTATACCATCCGATCCACATACTGGTGAATACACTTCAATACACTAGGAAAAAATGAAAGAAAGATATTCATCATTATTCTGTCAGTTGTATATGAATGTTTTTATAATAAAATGTTATATTTAATTATTATATTGGACAGATACATGTATTTGCTAAATTAGCATTTTATAAAATATATTTAAATTGATATTGTAAGTATTATCAAACCTAGAACTCCGCCATAAACCAAAACTATATATTATCCTTTTTCATCACTCAGATTGATTTCCAAAAACCCCATGCCATGTTAATGTAAAATGACAAAACACTAACCGATGATGGGCAAATACACAATGCAGACCCTCTCAATAATTCCTCACATTGTCCTCCATGTCTGCAATCAACTTCATCACATTGACTTGCTGAAATTAAGGTAGAAACACAAATTTATGACTGAGCCAATGGTTGATGATGATTGATTGTGATATGAAATGAATCACTCCACATCAGTTTCCAATAATATTAGTTTATTCAGATTACCATAGATGTAAAAATAAAAATAAGTTCTGTTAACAAGTAAATAGTTATAAAGAGCATACTAACCACACATTCCATTGCTTGCCACAGTTACAGATGTTCCACGAATGCAGTTCTCCCTATTTAAGTGACACATGCTCCTGTTGTAAATATAGAAAATATGCTATAACATTACAAAAGTTTTACCATACAATGAATAGAAATTACCTATGAGTGGAAATTAATAATGCAGTATTGAAAGAAGTTAGGTAATGAAAATGGCTTAGAAAAATTATCAGTAACTTACCTGTAAGTCTGTTCGTTTGATCCACAGACAGGTTCAAATGTTTCAGAGCATGTTACGCAGTCACAGCTTGCTACTCCATTAGTAATAATACACATACTTCCATCTCCATCACATGAAATGTCATCACACGGATTTTTAGGTGGAACTTGTGTGATACAAAAGTATTTATAAATATTTGTTTTATATGTGCATGATACAACACAGAATACACATGCGTTCACATTATACATCAAATGCATCAACATTCAACCATTTACCATTAAACAGCAATTCAGCAAAAGCCACAATATTTCAGAACAACAATAAGAGAAGTAAACATCCAATAACTAAGTAACAGATATAACTTACCTTTTTTATAAAAAGATTTTAAATAATAAAGCACAAAAGAAAGTTTTTGGTTAAAAAAAGAAACTATCATCCTAACATATTTATACGAAATACAAGATATTAAAAAAGCGATGATACCTCGACAAATGTCTCTGAATGTGAAGAAAGACCTCAACATGCAAGACGCTTGACGTACCGCGACCTTGTTATCATAAAAGCGGTTGTTGTTTGCTAGTTTGCATCCAAGTGTGACAGGAAGACGCTCAGCGTTGCCAATAGCGGAACAGTCACAACTGTGTTCCAGACCTCCAGCATTGTCTTCTGTCACCATACAACTTGCACCATGCTCACATTGTAGCATTCCACAAACCTCTGAATTATATATTCAATTAGGATATGGATAGGATTTTCATTTTTATGCTGGGGGAGATGAAAGTAGACAAAATGGTTTATTCACATGAAAAAATGGGATGGCTTAATCAGATGGTAAATGTGGCCATCATCCTGTTACCATTCAATGACGTTGCATATTAGAATAGCTAACCAGGTATTTGTTTTTGATGCATGAACTTGACTTGTTCAATTGGGTTTTATTTTTAAACATATATATATATATATATATGTGTCGTAATCTGAATCATAATCTGAAGCTGTTAATATAATTGTCCGATGTTTCAAATAATCATATCCACAGCTTCAGATTACGATTCAGATATTTATTTCCATTGTGAGAGAAATATTGTGTAATTAATGAATGCTAAATATAACATTTTTACCTAATCCTAATAATTGAAAGATAAACCTTCAGCTTGATGTTTCTAAAAAGCTTCTCAATGGTGAAAAATACAAAACTGATTCGAAGTTAAAAATTTTACATTTAGGAATGGCAATAATTAGTTATATAACAATTATTACCTTGAACCATAAAATCGTCCCCAGGTTTCTTGTACAAGACCAAAGTAACATGCATGGAAATAATTGCCTCTTTCAATGCTCCTACTGCAGGATCATGCAATCTTTCAAATGCCCACAATGTATCAAGACCAGGAACAAAATCTTCACCGATGGGCATATCAGACCAAGTCATCATAGCACTACATTAAAAGACGCAAATTTTTGTACATATACATACAAGTACATATATGTATATACAAAGTACATATACATAATAAATAAACACTAAATCATTTTCCTTGAATTTATGTCAATTACAGCACAAATGGTAAAAAAATCATGATCATTTGAATTAAAACAGTTACATAGTTGGAGAATCAAAATATGCCAAATTTGTACATAATCACCATAACACAAAAATGCAGACAAAAAATTGTGTTATGCTAACATAAAACATATTTGGCAACTAATGTGCCTAAGGATACACAACAAATTGGGTGTATGGCCATCAAAGGTTAAGCTTAGCAATAAATCCGGTTGGGTATCATCCAACTTAATCACCAATCAGATATTTTCCACAATAGCAACGATATTAACTTCCTCAACACTATTATGGAAGAAAATCAGTGCCCTGAGGCACCTAAACATATACAGCAATGTGCTGATTTTGTATCGTGAAAACAATGAAGGATGTATTTCCAAATAAACCATCAATATCTTATATCGGAAGTAATACGGTAAGCCTAAACCTTGTCATAAACTCAAAAGAATGCTTAATTCAATTATCGTAAATGCGAAGGAATGTCTGGATTTTGTAAGCTGGGTTCAAAAAATCGAGTGGAAAATATAATTTAACAAACCTGTAAACTAAAACAGCACTACCTCTTCTTACTTCCTCAATTTTAAAATTTGTTACAGATCCTGCATCACTATTAGCTTTGTTCTTCCTTTCGAGAATCTGGAAATGAATAAGAAATTTAGATATACAAAATATACAATAAAGACAATTTTTCTGAATATTAATAAAATGAAACAATCCCAAAATATTATTCATAAATATTTTTTGTCAAATACTTAAGGACATCATAGACATTACTTCAACAAAATATTTCAATATATTAAATTGCCGGATAAACCACTTTAGCAAATGGATATTCAAAATGATTGAATATGATTTCCAATATTTTTTCTTACATAAGGAAATATTGATATTTGAAAATTTCATAAAAATGCATAATTTTTTATGTTCTGAATCGTAAGTGCTTTTTCACATTTGAACACTGCAACACATTCTGAACTTTATAGACCACACACACCATGCGAGTCAGATTAAAGTGATTATCTCAAACTCAAGGTCATAGTTCGCTGCCAAAAATATTAGTTCAGGAAGTCAGTGAGTTATTAATGCGAGAAAATTTAGATAAGACAGACTGAAGGAAATAATTAATGATAAATGGCAGTTTCAAATGGCATGAGTGTCATTTCTATATTAACCTGAAGAGACTTTATGAAATACCTATCATTTATGAAAATATTTTCAAACCAAATCCAATATCTTTGTTTCAAACATTTATTTATATATATATAACAATAGCAGATGAAAATAGATTCACATTTATATTTATACAAATTACCTTGTTGACATTTTCTTCGAAAGAGCTTTTGAAAGCAATAAAGTCTGGAGAGGATTCATCACAATTACCCGGACATTTTTCATCTGCTGCGATGCTCGTGCTGCCTTGTACAATTGTTGTTTCTGTAAATTCATCAATCATGATATTCATGTAAATTTAGATGTTATTCATAATTCTAACATTATATCACATAATCGCAAGCTTTGTGTAAGAGTTGGTAATAAGTTTTGTCAATGAAATATTAACTATATAGATAGATATTGAAAACATTGGAAGATCTTTGCAAGATCAATTTTCAACCAAATGTTCATGGGATAGTGATGTTTTACTATACTGCTGTATGTGTAAACAATATATCACTTAAACGACAATGATATCTTACAAGATATCTTTTATGATAATGCTTTGGCATTTGCTTATGTTCATAAAGCAAATAGAAGCTGTATTTAGACAACCATCATAAAAACCACAACAAAGCCACTTTTGTTCTGTCAAGAACAATTCGAAAAACTTTCATTGTTCATTTGTTGTGCTTCAAATGAGAATAGGACAGATGCCAATTTTTTATATGTAATGTTTAACTGAGTCTTATGCAAAAATTTATGGACAAAATATAAACCTTCATCTTAAAATTAATTTTGTCTTTTTAGTCATTGACACATTGCACATGAAAAAAATGCAGAATTGGCTGAAATTTTGCCGTGACGAACCGATCCTACAAACAAACAAAATTACTTGCTTTTTCATCAGACTATTCACTTACCTCTTGGAGATGGACAAGATCCCAAAGATACTTGTGATATATCTCTTCCAATTTTACAAGAATATTTTTGTAATGCACATTTCGACATGTATGTTCTTCCATCACTTCCACACACCATCATTTCTTCACTAGATGGTTCACATTCAATTGAATCACAGCATTGAGGATTTCCTTCAACATCCAAACTGCATGATCCCTCACATAAAGGCTCAAATGATTTGTTTTTTTCATTGTAAACTTCGCATGGATCTAAACCAGCAAATCATGTTTTTAAAGACAAGTTGTAAGTTCGATTTGGTTCTACGTAACATTTTATATTCCTCTGATCAAATTGCATAAACATAAATGTATTATGATATAATAGGAATTACATATTTATCTCGGGGAAAAGGGAAGCCGATAAGATGGCTTAACCATATAGCAAGCCATGGCCTCTCGTATGGTTACCAGCCCATGTCAAGTATGGGATTAGTTAACCAGATATTTGTTTCAGATGCATGGACGAATGGTGGAGTGGACGCTGCTAACTGACCAGCGGTTATGTGAACCACCCTACGACGAAGAGGAGTCCAGCAATTGATAGGTGATACAATGATATTATTACCATTTACTAAATGACTGCAAATACAGCAAGTAACATACAAAACAAGATAAATAAATATTAGTCGTTATACCCATAGATGCTAGGCATAATAATGGATATTTAATATCATAAGCATTTTATATTTTGCCCACTGAGGAGGAAATACAAGAGAACAAAATGTACCAAGTTATAATTTTGTATGCATGGTAAACAGATAATGTTTGCCAACATAGACTTCAAGCATCTTGGAATTGCGAAAAAGATAATGTGCAACATAACAGACTATACCACTAACTCTTGAAGTGTATTATCAAACATATTTTGAGATACGATGCAGACATCTTGCAAACAAAAGGAAAGTCAAGAGCCCTCAAGTGCAAATTACTAATTTATTGTGATAATGACTCTTAATGGGATATCATGGTACATACACCGGAAATGATTCTTATCTTGGAGCAAACCCACCCAACTCCTTGTAATTTGTCCTAATATAACTGTGTGGGAATTATTTATTTTCATTCAACCATTCGATTGAAAATTTGAACACTACCAATTCTATAAGCACCAATAACAAAATAATTTCATACTGACATAATAAAGTTAAAGATTCAAAATGATTGCACACACCTCCTCAACAAATTTAGTCCAATTTTATTTCATCCGGTGATAAATAAAGATAATTTCATTTAGGCAAATATTAGAAAAAAGCAGAATAAGATGTGGGCATGCCAACACTAACCAAAAATACTGTTCCTAAGGCATTAAATTTTATTAATGTATCACTCAAATCAAACAACAGGATCATATAAAGCAAAATAAATAATTGTTTTACACAGTGTCTATAATTTCAGATGCTGAACTTGACAATGAAATTTGGGCAAATCATTGAGATATGACAATGATGTTGAATGTTATCGATGAGAAATCACAACAATATTGGTTTAAAATTACAAGAAATTGCACTGGCATAAAATTCCAATTGACTAGAGTCATGTAGGTTGTCAAATTATCTAAAACTTACCACATGGTGCTCGTCTGAGGACTTTTAGACTCTGGGAATGTTCGCATGCAGCCCGTCTCAAGTCACATTCTGAGCGGTAAGATTTTTGGTCAGAACCACATACTGGCTTGGTCATTGCATTGTCACAAGAATAGCATTGGCATTTTCCCATACCATCCACTACAACACATTTTGCCATATTACCACAGGTGACACCTTTGCATGGATCGGTTTCCTGTACTGGAGCTGAAAACATAAAAATAGGAAAATTAATAATAGAATTCGGCTATCACTGAACATCAGGTCATAATAGTCATTATCCAATTTCTATCTCAAAAAGTAAACATCATAGTTACAGGTGAATATTTTTATGACATTGCTTATGTGTGATCGTGATTATATTGAACTATAAATGTTATCGAAATAATATGTTAATTTAGCAAAATCTTATATCGATGAGTTATTTTGAAAAGAGAAAATTGGTTCATGATACAATATATATATATATACTATCGCACTAATGCAATAAGCTACATATTATATATAGTATACATTATTTATCAAAAAAAACATGACGAACCACAACATTAGTATTCACAAAAACAGAAGTCCAGATTTAAAAGATAAGCAAAGAAAATTACACTAAACCAATTAAATGGGCACGATGCACGAGATGTTATATTACTCATATTTACACAAAGCAAGCATCAAAGCAGAACTCATAGACAAACGCAAACAGATTTAGGCAAACTCACAAGTTACACAATAAGTAACAACAAAATAGATTTAGTAAAGCGAACAATGAGTCTACAAAAAACAAGGGTACTTGCAAAGCTGCAACATCCAGTACGTCATAGCCAGTCTCTATCATATTATATTAAGATTAAATAAACATGGTGAATAGATTGTGTATAAAGAAAAATTTTACTCCTTGGTATATACAAGTATTTGAACACGACTACACAAATATAACCTTTTTGCAGAAGCCACTTGGTGCTGAACTGCATAGCGGAACCAAAATTTTGAGTTTTTACGATGTCGATCATAATTTACTCATTTATTCTGACTAAATTACCAGATTATGAGCTCAAAAGGGCAGAAAGATTGCAAAAATATTTCTACTGTTTTTGTTTCCAGTATTTAACATTCAATATTGTTCATCAGTCTACCTGACCATAAAGAAAATAAGGCTAACTAAAGTGAACTCAAAGTGTAGTTAGGATAATGAGGTTAGGCTCAGACCAGCATAAACAAACTAAAATTTATTTTACAGTAGAAAAAAATATGATATGTACCAGTAATTTACAATAAGCTTTTATAATGAACCCTATTCTAACAAATGGATCGCATATTATAATAGGATTTTCATTTTTTGTTATTGATACACTTACAAGTATTTGAAATATTTGGAATTTATTTATAGTATCAAATTCCAAAACCAAATTGGTCAACTTCACAATTCTTTTCATCAAGAATATGTTGTAAACTTTAAACTTAACACTGGTTACCGGATATCTCATTTATCATGTTTATATAGTGATTTCATTAAAAAATTATTGACAAAGGCAAAAATGCTCCTTGTCATTAACTGTTATATACTTTCCTTTGCTATATAAAGCTGACACTAACTACATTAAAACAAGCTCAACTAACTTTTCGAAGTAGGAATACAACATAGCAAAATCAAACATTGAAAAAAATCAAGACATCTACATATGAAACCATATCATGCAAACTATCATGGATGCAAGACTTTTAACAAGATGAATGTGACGAAATAGAATTTAAAGAAAGTTTCAATGAACAGATAAACATACAATGAATGCTGCCTCAAGAATAAATATAGGTTGATAGATGAACATGAATAATAAGTAATTGACGAGATAAGATTTTACCTTGCAGAATTTATACAAAAGATAAGAAAGATGAATAACTAATCTACCTTTTATCAACTGATCAATTAGATTCAGTAAACCACTTTAATACCATAAACATCAATATTCTACTGAACGTTTTTACTGAAGTTCTAAAATTAGCCTACTAAAAAAGTAAATCTACAAACTGGTTGTCTAAGATGAATGATTCCAAACAACACAACACTAAAACACAACTACTAACATCGAATCAAGCACACTCAACGGAACATGACACAAGCAATCAACCCATACATGTTGTTGTTGGTTGGGAAGCGGTAGTTTCCAGCCTCCTTTCAATTGTGCCAGTACGAGGATGATTTTTACAAGCAGGAGAGTTTCTGCCTGCACTTTCACACTCAGCTGTTGAAGGTGGTAAGTAGTAAAGTAAAATGTCTGATGTGAAAACTTAGGTTTTGCATGATGATTTCTTAGCCCTATAAAATACTACATCATAAACAAGCTACTTGAAATAATTATGGAGAATAAAGTTTGATAAATTGTCCAATAATATCAATATAGTTTACAAGCTGAAATTATTGGGATATAGGGTATTGAGTATCCACATACTTGACTTTGGCTGGCAACCAAATGAGGTGCTACAATCTATGATGATGAAATTATGATACATAATTTTGTCTGGTTATAAACTAAATTCTGAGTAAAAACAATGATTTATGAATTGAAATCCAATCAGGAATTACGGAAACTTAATTCACAAGGATTAAAAATTAATAAATCAAATATGGAATAAGTTGAGTTTTAAGTGTTCTGATGATTGAGAACTAGGTAACTAAAATTAAGTATAAATAAATATTGACATTGATCTAAATCAAAGTCAGCAACTGCGAGAAACTGAGTTCAAACTTTGATTGATTGGTTGAAGCAGACAAGATAAAATTCCATGGTATACAATAATGTTTGCTTAGGGTGGAAGAGTCATAAATAACAGGAATCAATCCACAACTTTGTCAAATTAAATCTACAAGCTAAGATCATTTTCCGGAATTGAGGGATTCTCACACCCTGCACAAGAATTGGAAAAGACGCCTTACATGAGTGTATGGAATAATATGGACCATTCGACTCAAAGTTTAGTAATAATACATATACAAATGAAATTTATTTTATATGTTCAAGTAAAATTCACAAGGAATTGAGTTTTTAGTCTTGTACATGTCAGTTTATTTAAACAGCATTGATTTATTATGGAGAGAATGAATTCATTGGTATCAAAAACAACATCATAAAGGAAGAAATTAGTCATTAGGAAATTGTTTATAAATGATTTCTTGCAAATAAAAACATTCGAGAATGTCAAAATAATTTGTTGATTCTGATATGAAAACAATCAATTAAGGTGTAAATATTAGTAATCCAAGAGAAAATAATTTGAAATAACAAATATAACAAAAGTAAACTTTGACATTCGTTCATCACTTAGTGACCAGATATCGGTATATAAATAAATGAATTGACAACTGGCACGCAATCATCAATTAGCGTGTTTCCCCTTAAAGCCACAAAAACAAACTCATAACAGAAATGCTGGTATGGTGGCCCAGGGGGATAGAAATATGTTTTTAAACCAAGTTGACTGGACCATGCTCGGCGATTGTTTGCTAAGTGGAAGAAAATGTTATTTATAACAATTATACCACTCCATATCCCTGAAAAGTTGCACGATACACAATATCTGAAAGATACTGTTGTTATTCTCAAACATTTGAAAACAAAACCTTCTTGTTTAAACCATAAACCACCTTACAAATCAGTATCACTCACCATGCCGACATATCAAATTGCAGGGGGAAGGTGTATCACAAACACTTTTTTGTTTTTTTTCTCAAAAATTAACCCAAGGGACATAGAACTCAAACAAACCTTTATAAAATAAATCTTTGCATTGTAGATAGTGTATGACTATAAACGTATTTTTCTCAATGTGGTTGATCGGGTTGATCCATGGCTGCTAATAATATCATGGTGGGTGGCCTTACCAAACCATTACAAAAGTTCAGAAAAATGAGGAACTACACAGATGCATAGTAAATTTATGTTAACAGTTTGAAATGAACTTGTAATTAAGGACCACTATTCACATAACTTCAATTAAACAGAAAAATTATTGGTTTCTTATTTGGCATTGGTTGAAAAAGTACTTACTGCAAGGTCTTCGTGAAACAATTCTAATTCTTCGCTGTGACCAACATTCAGATGCTTTCAGTCTGCATTCACTGGAGTAAGTAACTCCATCTGATCCACAAACTGGAGCAAAGATATCGGAAGAGTCTGGCGACTTGCCACAAGTAACTTTAGGACAAACACAGGTGGCAGATCCATTTGCTGAAGCTTCACATTTTGCTTCAAAGCCACACAAAACCATGAGACACGGGTCTGAAATAAAACAATAAGTGTTATATTGCGCATAATTGTAATATGAATACACAACACAAGTAGACACTTCCTGGCTCAAGTTGAACTGAATTTTTGTAAAAATGTATCGTGCAAAACATTTTAAATTCTAAAATCAAATTACAGTGTAATGAAAGATTCTCAAATATGAGATATATTCATAACATGACTAGAAAAACTATTATTTCGGCATTGATAAATGTTATTGTGTAAATGTCAAGGAATGAGGTGTAATTCCAAATTAATGCAAATAAATGGATAGATTATTTTACTGATTAATTTCACGGCCTTACAGCTACATGTCAAATGCTAAAATATTAAAAAAAATATGTCAAACAATATATCAAATGAATATGAATGATAACATATTGTTATTCATTCAACCAAACACTTACTTTGACTTTGTTACACTATAAGAGAACGCCAGTGTATACAAAAGTTTTCTATTCATGAAAAATTGTTTATAACCCTGCTTAGAGCATTACACCATTTGAAATAACTTTTATGTTTACAATTGTATTATATTATCAGCTTTTTGCTTATCTTGACTGACCTTATCAGATAGGTCAACCTTGAGTCACCACAATGTTCACAAAGAGAAGAATGTTTAATATTCTGTATCAGTAGACTGAACATAATTGTTTCCCTTACCTTGTTTCTTTTTAGGTTCCTCCTCAATTTTCATTCCTGTAACAAATGAAATATAAATTATGACAATGATTAAGTATTTCTTAAATCAATTAAAACATATAAAATCATATCAGTTGTTTTTTTACAATTTTATATATCAGTAGTTTAAATCACTTAAGGTGAGGGCTTCACTCTGAATAATGTGATATGTAAAGAAATGTGAACAATGTTACCAATGGATTTTCAATGCAAATAGGAGCAGATATTATTAATTTATACTATTTTATATATATATATGAGAGTTTCAGCACATTATTATTGAATGGCATTTTAATCATATAAATATCATTTCAGGTTTTGTGTTTTTAACATACCGGTAACTATGATTAATAGAATAATAAGCAATATTTTTTTGTAATTGAAAAGTGCTTTTTTACTTGAAAATATTCACAACCTTATAGATTTTAAAATACTATGTGGTGAAAATTCTTATGTAAACATCAGAACATTGAGTATCAAGACAGAAAATTGTCTGGTGATAGAGTCTCAACTGAGTTTAGTATCCTGTTACTGCTTTGGATTGATTACACCACAAAGTGACCTGGGAATTGACTGCCCCCTGCTTAATTACACCATTTAGTCGACTGTCGTCAAAAAGAAGGAAACCTAATCCATAAGAATACAAATACTAAGACATGAATAGTGCTTGTGAAAATGTTCAAGACATGAAAACGCCATGCTTTTGTCAATATATCAGTTTCAATGAGAATGTCTTTTGAAGTGGTTGGATATTGTGCTACTATCGAATTTTAGCAGACAACAAATGCTGACAAATTTCCACTTCAGACAAAATCTAGTGTCATTATGAATCTAATGTCAATGAATAATATACTCATTTGAATCGATCATGGAAAATTGTTAACCACTGATTCCAAAGTGTATGTACATTTTTATGTCTGGCATTTGAATCATAGGCATTCTTATAAAAAGTGTTCACCACCATTTATTTCATTAAAAATTTGCGAATTACTTCAACCAATATACTTTTATATTTCTCATGCATGCGCCCCGCCCCCCCTACACCACCTATTTATAAAAAATGTTTCAAAGTCCCATGATTTTAAAAAATGCTCTGTGAAATACAGGCATATTTTTATATCAACTTTAACACATATCTAATTTATCCATACACAAAATCTTTCAAATTTATCATAGATTTATATAACATTTGTTAAATGTTACCAATTGCCCTATTACGTTGTAGCAAAAATCCAAAACTAGGAGATTAAGGTAATCCAAAAATTGAGCTAAAGACATGGTTTTGAGTATAACGAAGCAAAATTGCAAAACATATCTCAAAAATTGATCCAGTCAGACAGAACAGAGGTTTGTGCAGCTTATACTGTTTACTAGAAACACAGCATTTTAAGAAAATCGAAAAAACTTCAATGAATACTGTTATTACCCCACCTGAGTTCATGTTCAAGGGATCAAACATGCAAATAGTTATAATCCAGTTCATAATCTCAGGAAATGGAGCGTTTAATTGGAGTTTAAAATCATTTATAATATATGACTGATATTAGGGATTATATCATGTTAGAATTTATAATGTTACAAATAATAAATGACTTTGATTAGTTAATTTATTGAATCTTTTTAAAATGATGAATCGCAAAATTCACATCAAAAAAAAATTACTGTATATTATGAAAATATTTGCATTTAAAGTTAATTCTGGACAAAACAATAAATTGCTGTTTAAGGTTCTTGCTCAGAATAAATTCCATACAAAAATTATGAATTGAATGAACTTTTTTTTCCTAATCAGTTGATTCAAAAAGAGTCCTTATTAACTACTATTATTTGGTTCCTATTCATAGTTTAATGGGATGGCATGTAAAATAATAACAATTATTATTCCAAAGTTCAAAAGCTCATAGTACCAATATCATATGTCAGGAAAAAGTGCAAGATACTATTCATATAACACTTAAATGTTTTCTCCCATGCAATATATTAGTCATTGTTTAAAGCAGTTGCATGTTTGTCTCATTTAGAATTTGTATTAGTTTCGTCTTTGTTTCTTGAAAAAAAATGATCTTCTATATTTATTCAAGCTATGAACATTTTTGAAATGGAAAAACAAACCATTCCTCTTTTGGAGATAAAAACATTATTATTAAATATTTTTCGTATTTGCCGTTTTAATATGACTTCATTCAACCAAAATTCATTCGAAAACAATTTAGTCAAGCAAACCACAATTACTTCAAAATTATTATTAATGAACCCCATTCAGGTGTGTATTCAAACATATTATGTCACAAATGATGGACGAAAGTGCCAATTTAAACAGTGATGTCATTACACCACAACACAAGTCTCATTAATAATTCACTTATCATATATTACTTTCATATTTCATACGATTATTATGATAGTAATAAACCTTGATGCTTGTTAAACCAGGCAAGGCTTATTCTACTAAATATTTTAGACTTGGTTGAGGTTTGGCCCAAGAAACGAACTGTGTAGTTCTATAAGTTGAACTATCAAAGAGACGGAGTTTTCTTAATTAAACAAAATTACATGTTCAACCATTTACCGCGCCTTGAAGCACTCACAAAGACTTCAGCTTAATTCAATTGAACAAGTCATAATCCTACAAACTATGTAGCATAGGTAGGGAGAATTATATTTTGCGACCATGTTTGATCAAATAAGAATGGTATGAGGATTAGTGACAAAATAAGAGACTGGTGATATATCTTTGTCAAAAATATGTGTGTCAACTGTTAGATGTTTTATTCCAAACATAACTGAGTTTTTGTTAAACTACAACCCAAGAACATCAACAAATCCATCACTCAATATAGCTTATTTTAGAAACACTACTGAATTTATTCATTTCGGTTAATTTTTAATATAAAAATTACATTAGGTCGAATGTTATTAGCGTTATTTGTGACCGCAAGGGTATTTCTCGCTTAACAATTTTATTTTGAGAACTCATATGGCGTTGCAAACCTCTCGTGCAGGCGTAAAATGAGCAATGTTATTTTGACATTTCTCCACGCCGATATGTCGACAGTGCAAAAACCATGGGCTAAAGTACTCAAAACAATTCGGACCCATTGAACTTCAAAGTCAATAGTTAAACATTCCTGGGAGAGGATGGTATATGTTTAAAGGTACTCCTAATTCGTATGAACATACTTGTTACTGAGAAAAATAAAAATCACAAATTGGCATTGCGCCTGGTGAACATATTTCATTGAAAGGGTCAAGTTTCATGCAAATATCATATTTAGTGATTCGCGATGTGAGACGACCACATAAACTATTTTTAGTAGAATGTACATGAGCGCTATTTTAAACGAATTTTTTTTTTAATTTGTATCTGATTTTTTACGTATTTTACTGACAGGGAATTGTAACTGTTCAATATCAAATCACCCAAAATAGTGGAACACGTCACCGTTTTCAAGACAAAATGATTAAATTTAAATTATAAACTAAATGATTAGCAAAGACGGAACCATATTGGAATTCCAAAACAAAGCGGAACGTGAGTTTTGGGAAGTTGAAATATTTCAGTCTGCCTCAGTTGTCTTTTCACTTCACTTCGCATGGCGTGGCATCGAAGTACGCACACAAAACGGTCGGTCGGCAACCAACATTCCAGTCCTTCGATGGACCGCGAAGTTCGAAAAATGGGAGGGTAGTGGCCGTTTGCAATATTCAGCCAAACTACATGTGCGATCTATACACAATTAATTACTAATGATATTTCGTAGCTGTATCACCACATTGAAGTCGAGCAAAACTAAAACAATGGCTCCAAACATGTATCATTTGGTGACTAGAGAACTTTGTTACCCAAGATACAGATCTGATTTCTACTGTGGGGTTGCGCCCACCTTGAATAAGGGATGGGTCACTGGCATACTGCGTGCTAATTTGACCCTGGACCCCATTTTAGGCGGACAATCCGGTTTCTGCACTTTTTTCAACGACTTAGGTAACCACAGTTACTGACAAAAAACAATACGTCCTTCAAAATGAAATTTTGTATTATTATTATCCATTAACCCCGACAAAGGTAGACGGGTATCGATCAACGCTTTCTTTGTGATGCATTGGGCAGGTAACATTTAAGAGAAGATTTTTATACGAATTGAACGACTATTTTGGTTTCCTATTCCTCTATAACTTATGAAAAACAAGCGATCCATAACGAGGACATAAAAGAGCAACGACAATTTTAGGTAATAGATATTTCCATTAAAGATAAACGTTATAAGAAAATATTACCTTCTCGATATAATACATGTATCTGAAACGAACACTTCTACTGCCAAACTAACTAGTGAGTTGTAAGAGTAGTGTTGAAATGCAATTCATTTTGCATGCTATAAATCAGCCTCAGATGGCTGGTGCATTTTATCAAAATCTGATTTCTCTGAACAGACCAGAACTACGTAATAACCATTTTAACCTACTGATATCCGTATCTGATAAGCGTTCATTAGTGGTTAATTAATCTCATTTTATTATGAAGCCCATTTGTTCTAATAATAGCAGCAGACGCCAAGTCTCAAATATGTCGAGCTCAAAAAGAACTGAAATAGAGTACGATACGAATGTGTTTTGGATAAATTTTGCGTGTTCATAGCGAATACATAATATTTTGTTGTTTATATCTATATGATCTAGTTTTCCGCAAAGACGGCACAATTGTTTTAACGACAATATTCATTTAAAAATGTTTGTATATATAACTCGATGAGCATACATCATCGCTCACGTAAATAAATCCGCCAAGGAGAGGCTGTAACGTAAATAAAAGTATGATAAAGTAGAGATCTGTGTCGTCTGCTGTTCGACGTATCACAAAGCCACAAAGCCCTCGGCTGTTACTTGATATCCGATAGTATCGTCATCTTTCGACACCCTAGATATGGACATCATCACATTGATCATATACAGTCAAGTAAGTTTGTAGATAACTTATTTTTATTGGTTCTCTGACATAGATGTTTGACGCCGGCATA